AGAGATAAAAAGGCAGATATAGCTAAAAAAAAATAAAAAAAATAAAAAACTCCAACAAATTATTGCAATTTCCTTAGTGCGCGTGTGGCTTTTATGCGACAGACGCAAATTGTAATAAATTAAGTTGCTTGCGTCTGCCGCTCTTTTGCATTTGGCTGGATGGCTTAAAGCGCTGCATCGGCAGCAGAAACACAACTCGGGCTATGCTTCAAGAATTGCATAATATTTGGCAAGCAACAACAGCTGCCACAACAGGCAAGAAATAACAGCAGCAACAACAACTAGCTCAACCGGACCGAAGAGCGCAGTTCGCATGCTAGAGATGGGCTTTAAGTCGTGTTTGAGCTTTCAGTCTTGCAGTAAGTCGAAGCTCATTGCAAAGCTCATGTTAATTTGCAGGTTCGTTTCATTGACATAAAGCTCAACAGTGTTTTTCGTATACATTTAATTGCAAACACTGCTCAAATTGACAGGTGGATAAACTGCCTGGCATCTTTTAACTAGCAGCTAAGTTATAAGACTGAAATACTATAACTATTTGCAATGTTCACGCCGTGTCGTGCGGAGTCGAGCCATATTTGTTGGCCCAATCGCAAGCTTTATAGCCGCTAAAAGCTTTTTGGCCAACTGCTGGCAAATTCAATAATAAAAAAAAAAATGCGAACGCAAAAGGCATAAAAGAAGAAATAGGTGATTAGGACACAGCGAGAAAACGAGTTTCAAAGCGAAAGGGAAAACTTATCGCAAATGGAATTGCGTTAAGCGCTTTATGAGCCGACTTTACATTGAAATTGCCCCCTTAAATGCAATTAATTAGCCAAGTTGCCACTGCTGCTGCTGCTGCAGCTGCACAGTTTGAGATTGAGACAGCTTCCCAGCGTCTTCCTCAACGTATTTATGTTTCGCCCGTTCTCTCTCTCTCTCTCTCTCTCTCTCTCTCTCTCACTCTCTGATGCGACCTTGTGCTTGTTTTATTTACAGCACTCGCAACAAAACTGAAATGAAATTGTTTACATGAATGAATGGGCATGGTCTTGGCCAGTTCGTCTCTCCGGCGGACTGGCCATAAATTCGATGAAGTAAAAAAAAAATGTACATTTGAAAGCTCGTAAAGTCAAATGCTGAAACAGTTGCAAGCAGAGCGGAGCCTGCGTTGAGTTGTTGTTAAATTGATGCCATGGGCAAAAACCAAAATATTGTCAACCAAATTTCTTTTAGCTGTTTGCCATTTGCTTTGTCTTGTTATTGTTGTTTCTGTTGCTTTTATTGTTGTTGCTGCTGCTGTTGTTTCTTCTGCCTTTTTTCTGTCAGTTGTTGCACTGTCCAGCGGCGAAGTCAACAAACTTGTTCAAGGCGCAGCCGCAGCCGTCGCTGCATGACTTGCCAGAAAAGCTTAAGAGGCAGACAAACAGACGGACAGACAGACAAACAGACAAACATACAGTCAGACAGACAGAAAACAAAGAAAAAACTGAAATTGAGTCGAAGAGTTAGAAAATTGCAAGCTTTTCGTGTAGCTCGCTTCGCTGGAAATTGCTTGGCCAATTGGGCTATAAACAAATTGTGTACCAATACATACTGTATCTCATATTCTTTTTTTGTTAAGTATATTATGTTTTTTATGTAGTTGGGCAACATATATAGACTCCTGCCTCAGCTCATCCCTCATTTAACATCAGCTTGTTACTATATTATTGAATATATTTAATATGAATTTATTTGCTGTCCAAAAATTTGCTTCCTTGTTTTGATTTAAAGACAATTCTTTGGAGCTTTTTCTTAATAAAAGGCAAAAAAAAATAAATAAATAAATACATAAAATATAAATAAATTACTATCAAGTAATTTTCGTACAAACTAATTAGGTTTTAGTTAATACTATAGTTGTTTTTCTGTGTGGATTAAATATTGCATTATACTTTCGTAATTGCGGCCACAGAAGGCATCAAACATATCTAAATCTGGAATTCAAACCTGAACCCTCTTTATATTGAAGCGTGAACGAGTCGCTTTCAAGAGTTAGGGTATCTCATCTTCCTTGTGGCACACAATTAATGTATGCTCGGGCTTAACGTGTGGGTGTTTCAGCTTAATTTAAACTAAAGCAAAGTTTACGAAAGTCGCGCTATGTAAAAGGCAAAAAACAACGTTTCCAAGCCAGGTCCATGTTGCCATGTTGAAGGTTTTTACAAGAGACTGAAGAGTGCTGCAGCGTTTTTGGGAGGAGGCGGGAGTGGGGCTTGAACGAAGCCGCTTCAACTGCACAAATTGAAACAATATACGAGCTGGCACAAAATACAAGCTGTGTGCCAATGCAAATTAGCTTTAGACTAAGTTAATGCTCGAGCCGGCTATGGAAATTGGAGTAGGCCGCTGTGATTCATGAATCTGGGCATTACAAAATCTGCCAGCGATGATGGAGTGCTGGCAGGCCAGGCCAGGCCCGACTCGGCCCGGCCCGGCACGGCCCGGCCAGGCTGGAAATCACATTGCAGGGCTCATTAGCACGCTGACAGCTGAGAAATTGATGTCAAGTGCGCTGCAAACGACTTACGCAGTTTTGTTTATGTTTATTGTGTGGGTATATGTTTTGTGAATTACATTTTTATTTGACAGCAATTACTGGGCCAGCGCAACCAGGATGTTTACACTCAAAACTGTATTTAAGCGTCATCAAAAAAACACATGTTGCACGCGGCGTATGCGTAATGCGTGCAGGAAGAGCACAAAAATGGCGTCTGCCTCAAAAATATTGATATATGCAGCTTGATAAGCCCGCATGACTTGCTCTTATATTATCAGCCAATATATGTATATAAATTAAATTATATATAAACATAAAGCCTTGCCATTTAATTGTCGCTTTATAAGAAACCCATGTGTAAAAAAATGCTCATGTTTTTTTTAGTTCAGAGCCAAACTTTTTGCACTGTCGCCTGTTCGATATAGAAAAAAAAAACAAAAAACTAAAAATCAAAAATGTCAATTTCAATTTCATGCGCGCTTTGTTACAACATTCAATTTGATGGCACATTTGGCCAACAAACACCCACTGTGATGGGCAGTTGGGCATTTTCAATGTCAGCGTTGCGCAAATGTCGCCCGGCTGGTTTATTTATGTGCAGGCGACAGCACGGGGCATTTTGATATAGTCACTAGATTTGTAACACAAAACAGACTTAAGAGCTGCGTGCAATAGATTATCTACTGTTTTTTAATATATATCAGACAAAAAATGTATACTAATTATATTTTAAAATAATTTTGAACTAAACCAATAATTATAAAAAGTATTATTTTAGGTGCGAATAATCTCTAAAATATATATATGTATTCATAGCTGTGATACAGTTTTTTTTTCCGAATTATAGTTGGTAATAATATAATTATATGATTTTTATTATAATTGTTAACCAATAATGCAACTGAAATAAATTAATATCGGGACAAAAAGAATTGGTTTAAAGTGAGATCAATCTGAAATTAATGCCCTTAGTCAAAGATGTACCTAACAATAATAACAAAAAAAAAGTTTAATAATAATATTAAAATTGATAAATTTCTCAATGAAACTGTTTAAAAATTGCTTTACTTATAAAGCATGTCTCCCACATATAAATGTAATACCTAACACATAACTGTTACTTTATGAACATTTCCCTCAATTTGGACTGAAAGAGCATTTCAACGTCGTCACGATTCACTTACAAAGCTGTTGCTCTTTCTTGTTATTCGTATTTGTCTTCTTCGTCTCTTTCACATGTATCCGAGTTGGAACGCCCTAAGTGAGGCCCTCAAACTGTTAACATATGCATGACATTGAAATTGTGCAATACACAGTTTCAAATTGATTTTGTTGCTGCGCTGCTGCTGCTGCTGTTGTTGTTGTTGTTGTTGTTGTTGTTTTGTTATTGATTTCGCGGTTTATCTATGCGACGTCTGCACGCCCGTCCATCATTCGTCAATTCTCGAGCCGATTCTTCGCCACTTTAATTATTACAATTAAAGCATTAAATATTGCCTTGACCAGGCGCAAAAAATGCCAAACTCGTTGACGTGTCTTTGACTGCGGCTGTGACTTCTTAATGCGCACGCATATTTGGCATTAAGAGCAAATTAAACAAATTATAAGTGATTATTGCTATTTCGCTATTGTTTTTAATGCTTGCCATAGCCATATTTTCGGCCATTTGCTTGAATCAGTTTCGAATTCAAATGCGCTTACTTGCGTCTTTCCGGCTTCATTTTGAGCCTGTTGAGACAGAATCTGGCTGCTATTTCAACAGGTGATGCAATTTGCGGAGAGCGTGTGAATGGTGAGCGGCTGTTACTGTAGCTGTTGCTGTTGCAATTCTGGTTGCTCACAAGAAGAAGAAGAAGAAGAAGAAGCCGCGCATTGTTTTATGCACAGCGCGTAAAGCGACGGCCTGAAGGTCGCCGACTTACATAAGCGCGGCACGACGTCAACGTCAACGTCACAACAACGACGTCGAAAAACCCAACTGCAGCGGCAGCGGCAGCGAGAAGCCCTTTTGTGCTTTGCCCTTAAAGCGTGCACGCATGCTGAATGCTTTGAAGGTGAACGAGCTGCTGCTACTGCTGCCGCTGCGCAAAGGAGCAACAAACGAAGGCAACAAACTTTTCAGCAAAATACGCTCAAAAAGCGCCAGACGACACGCGCTCTTTCCACAAAGCACAGCTCAAATTGAGTGTTTCTTTGAGCGCTTTTGGCGGCGCTGCTCGCACAGGTGCTTTGACTGCTGTGTGGCTTAGCTTTCAGTTGTATTTCTAGCAGCAGCGAGACAGCAACACACGCACATGCAGCAGTGCAGCAGCTCTCTTTCTGTCTCTCACTCACTTGCTCATCCACTCACTGTTAATCTCTCTCGCGCTGACAAAGTGTAAAGTGCAAAGCTAGCAGCGAAGTTGACGTCGACGTCCACGTCGTAGAGCATCAGCGCAGCTCAGCTCTCAGCTTGGGCAACGACTTGAAGTCAGTCTTAGTCGCAGCTTAATGCGAAACACACGCGTCTACGAACTCGCTCCTCCGCCCTGCCATACGCCGCGATAACTAGTGACAACTTTAAGAGCGATAACGATAACAAAGTGCTGATAAAAGTATATATCAAAATCAACACACATATGTGCATACAGCTAGATTGAAGTTTGTGTCCTAAGTCTTCTGTTGTGCGAGAGCAATCAACAGCCAATTAGTGGATTACAACAACAAAAAGAACAACGCACACGCCTAGCAACAGCTTGTGCAAATATTTGCACTTTTGACGACACTTAACGACTCTTTCCTACACACACATACACACGCACACCAACACATACGGAGCAGCGGACAGGAAACGTCTTAAGAACGCACTGTAAGTGTAAATTTGCTAAATCAACAATTGCGAGCTTTAAGATTTGGAGTTTGACGAGTTTGGCACCTCAAGTGCTATATGTTGCAGGAAATCATTGCGCAAACATCATTAGCCCAGCTCGGGCACAACAGTTGAAATATGAGTATAAAGTATAATAATAAGAATATTAATAATACCATAAATATTCTCTGTAAAACAAATGTCCGCCGCTTTGTTGTCTCTTCGAGTCAACAATTACTTTGTGCGGCTTTGTCAGGCCCTCCATCATTGTCCACATCATCAAAGAAACAAAAATAAGCAGCAAAAAATAACATGAAAACATACTCGGCAACGTGACTGTAGCCCCGCCACGCCCCCTCTTCAAGCTCCTGGCACGGCTATGGCTACTGTTTATTTAAAATGTGCAAACGCTCGTCAGCTCCAACGCTGCGCATACAAATGGACAGCTTTTTGCCGCTGCCCAAGCCAAAAAAACGCTGTTAGAATATTCGCAATTATATCCGAGTCCGAGATGGCATTAGGATTGGCACTTACATTTGCTTCATATGGGGCTCTAATCGATTATTATTTTGGTGAAATATTTATCAACTTAAAGCTTATATGTGCTTTTGTTTAAATATTTCTTATAGGGATTTTAATAGATGTTGCAAATAATTCATCTTCATCTAAAAATAATGAAATAAAATCTCAGAACTATCATTAATTTTGAATATTTTGTAATAAGAACTCTAGATTCAAGATCTATGTCTAAAAGATCAATATATATCCTCGCGAAAATATGTAAAATCATTAAATTAAATTGTAATATGAGATTTATTTCCAATCCTTATGAGCTTTAAATGAGCTGTAAACCAATTTTCGGTAAAAGAGATTCCAGCTTTGAATATTTTCATAAACAGATCTTATATTTTATGATCTTTTGAGATAATTCAATACAAATATTTAAAGCTTTAAATGAGCTTTATTGATTTCCTTACTTTACTTTACGCTAGATATAGACTTTCAATTCATATAATTATTCTGGCATACCATTAAATACATTCATTAGACGCTTAAATACTAGCACATGGAAAGTTCAAAGTTGTTTTCAATGATTACTGCTTAGTGAGCACCGTTAACTATTGTTAATCCATATTCGATATTTTAATTGATTCTAACTAAACCCCAGTTAACACTCAATGCATATACATATTTATTTAACTAATGATATAGTGATTAAATGCTTCAATGCAGTTATCATTATTAAATAAAGATCAATGCATTACCGAGCACTGGCTGGAAATCAGCGCTCAGCGTTGAGCCGAGTTTCCAGGTCGTTTCTAATTGGCTATAATTAACAACTATGGCGACGATGACTGCACTGGGCAAGAGGTCAACAGCAATTTGCACGAGCAACGGGGAGGCCGGCATTGCAGCTAAAAGATACGCTCCACGCTCCTCCGTGAGCCCGACTCTAAGTCGCTTGACGTATGTTTGAGCCGTGTTGCTTACAAATTGTGAGCAAAGTTCAGTCTAAATGGGTGTTATGACTTTATCGCATATTCAGCACACACACACGCACACACACACACACAGGCACACTGGGAGATGGAATATATATGGGTACAAACACTGGTACAGATCGAGCAGTGGGCAACAGTAATCACGTTAATATCATTGTGCTTGTCTCTTGAAATAAATATTCAACTGCATTCATTGTCGCATTTTGTGCACCCAACGACCTTCCTCGAGGGAGGCCCTGAAAATTTGTTGTCAAGGTTTTCTTTCCACATTCGCTCTGTGCATTTCCGAACTGTGCAGCGCTGAAAAGCTTCAACTTGAACTGGTATTTTCGGCTTGGGTTTTTTCTTCTTCTGCTTGTCGTTTTTTTTTTTCTTTTTTCTTCGCTGCTGTTTCTTTTGCTCTTTGTTGTGTGCTTATCACGCGCGCGGCTTGGTTCAAGGGAGCATTCATAAAACTAGTATAATGCAAATTGTATCTGAATCTAGATGATTTCTTTTGTTGCTTTGCGACATTTTATTAAAATCCAAGGTAATTGTCATATTTTATAGAGCAAAAAACCAAAGTTGTTATGCAAAACACATAGTTCTAGTTGTTTCGATTAAACGTTTATTAAACCAATTACACACGGTTGGCAGTTGGCTTTCATAATCGTCTAGAGATATTTAACAAATACATTTAGATAGCTGCATCTATAATAAGCGCGTCGCATTGTTGCTGGCTGAAAGCAAAACTGGTAGCTTGGCCATTTAATGACAGCCTCTAATGGTTCAATTAAACACGCGTTGTCGTTGCCTACTGATCGCTTGTAATTTGAAAGCCTGTCACTTGGGCTTGAACTCCAGCCCCTAATGAGTAGGCACCCGATGACATGGCAGCACAATACACATTGGTTGTTTTAATGCCATTGAACTGTCCGCATAATAAGTGTACGCTGATATATCAATCAATACTGAAAAAAGCCTTTAAAGAGTTGTACACTCACTTTTTTCTCAGTACATTAATTATTTAATTGTACATTTCATGACCACATGGAACAGTTGCTGTCGTTCTCGTGTACTTTGAAATTGAATAGTTTTTCTTGTTTCTTGTCTTTTCTTTCAGTATTCACTTATGCAACGGCAAATGGTTGTTAAGTAAATTAATTATTAATTGTGGCAATTGTACAATCTCTTTCAACGAAGCAGTAGCAATTGTGTTATTAAATCAAAGCAAGCCATAGACTGGTTTAACGCTAGCTCGACTCTGCCACTTGCAGTTCTCTAAGTGTGTTTAGGCTAAACAAACAAATAAGTCGTCTAAAATATAGTTTAGGCCAGCTGAAAGCAAGCCAGTCGGTGAGCTTGATTGCCAAATTCTTGGCCATAAAGCGCTACCAAGAGATTATTTAAGGATGGCAATAAACAGCTGTTGTTGTTGTTGTTGTTTCTTGTTGGTGCGGGTGTGCTAAGAAAACGTCTATAGACAGGCCACATAACCAGTTGCCACAACAACAGCAACTAAACTCAGGTACGAGTAAATTAAGCTCAACTGGTTTGCAAGTTGCAGCAACAAGCAAAAGCCATAGCCGCAGCCGAAGAAGTGGCAGGCGTTGCAGACACAAAACTGTGTCGCACACAGCTGCACAGCTCAAGACGTGCCTGAAATTATGTCATCGGAAAAACAAACAAACTGAAAATGAAAACGCCATGAAAAACCCGCAGAGTCCCACAGAGAGCGAAAGTCTTGTGCGCCGGCTCAGGCGCGTATAGCCAAGGCAGTTCTAAGACCACTTGGCCATAACCACAGGCCAGCATACCCTGCCTGCCTTTAAGGCCACTTTAATGACTGTCACATGCCTAGCCCAGCGGCTATTTACTTGTTTTTGTTTTCTTTAATTTTAAATGTCACGCACGCAGAACATGCGTCAGTTAAATTATTGAGCTGTTGGGCCATTTGAATTATTTAGGCAGCAAAATTCAATAAAATGTATTTGGGATTTTCCGGTATGCACACAGATCGTTCGAAGTTTGGCAATTGCCTCGTTGAAAACTAAAATACACAATGAAAATTGAAAACTGAAAATAATATAGTATATATCTATGTATTTGTTGGGTGTGTGTGTGTGCATTGGCCATTTATAAAACAGGCAACTGCTCCGAATGCCCGCCTGCTTGATATTGCCCAATGTTTGGCAATCGCATTTTTATACCCTAACCGAGGGTATCACTAGTTCGAAATGGTTTTATGAACCGCATGCGCAATTTTAAAAGTTTTTTGAAATTTTTTTAGTAGTAGCTCTTCGTTTTTTAATTGTTTATTCTGCTCAGACTGAGCCTTATGAATCTGTGGAAGTTTTTCAAACATTTTTGCGTACAAACAAAAGCTTTTTATTTCGTTTTGGTTTTTCCAATTCTCATTTACTTTATTTTTATTACCTTGTTAGGATAAATAATATATTGAGTCAAGTGATTTTTTAAATAGTCCTAAACAATGCCTAAACGCGGTTTAAACATGTGTTTGTTATTTATTTATCTTATGACAATTTTATTTTTTCACGCTTTCCATTAAAAATAATTCTAAAAAAAGAATTAAAATGGGAATGACAATGCTTAAATGCTGACAGAAAACCCGAAACTTTTTTGTAAGGTTGAAATAAATAAAAAAAAAAGTTTACTTAATAAATAGAGCTTTTTACTGCTTTTAACTGTGATAAAATTAATTGGAAAAAGGATGTTAAGGCGAAAATTTTAAATTAAAAAATAAAATGTTTAGTGAGTATTTTAAAGTTTAAATCGTACAAACTGCGTAGTAGATGTAAAGGAAAAAAAAACATTTACTAACAAATTTGTGGTATTCAAGTGTATTTTTGCTTCGTTAAACTGAATATAGCAGATATTCATATAATTTCTTGCTAGTTTTAAAGTAGTTTTTATATTTTTCTAGTTGCAACCAGTTAAGTCTATTGAATTGCATGTGTGTGCGTGCGTGTGCCTGCGTGTGTGTGTATGGCCAGTTGAAATGACCAAAATGCAGGTTGTTGTGGTTTGTTTATTTGTGCCGCAGATTCATTGAACCCAATTGTGGCCACTTGTTGTTGTTGTTGTTGTTGTCCACTTGTGCAAGTGCGTCATGCGTCAAAGTGCAGCAAAAAGTGCGACTATAGCGTTTAACGTGTTGAAATAATGTGTTTAACAAATATGATTTTAACATTCGCTGACGCATAAATAAAAACTTTCCGTTTGCATTCAGTGCGCAAAACAATTCTCGTTGCACTACAATAACTTAGCTCAGGTTGGAAACAAAAGCCAACTGCTGCCTAAGAATTATTTGTGTGGCATTAGTCAAGTGTTTACTGACAAATTTGCAAAATATACAACAAAAGGCGTCAATGTTACTTTTGTCACAATTGACGTTATTTTATAGTTATTGTTGTTGTGGCTAGCGGCTTTTGGACTTCGTATTGATATGCATTTGAATTGTGCGATTATAGCCATTGCGCTGGCCATATTAATGATCGCAGGCTATAGCCATGATTCAATATACTATGACTTAGCATGACTTAGCATTAATGGTAGACGAAAATAATAAAAGCTCAACCGCAAAGCCGATGTGATAAGGTCGAGTCTGAAATGCGCTATTCTGTGGCTTAGATTATGATTTTATATAGATAAACAAGCTGTTTAACTAGGAAAATTATCGGCTTAAGCCCAAGATTGGCCGTTAGGTTAAGTTTGCGCACTTAGCCTTACACAAATATGAACCCAAGTTTTATTTCGCAGCTTGCTTCGCTTTCTTTTGTAGAATTTCAAATGAAATAGTTAAGTTTATTATGTTTACTGTGAAATCATTCAGTAATAGATTTTCTTAAATGTTGTCCGCAGCTAAAAAATGTTGCAATTAAATTTTCAAATATTCAAAACAATTTATTTATCATATTTTTCCACTGTTATTTGTGCTACAAATTCGGCTTAAATTATGAGCTGCTTTGTCAGAAAATAATTGTTGTTCCCGGTTCGAACCGGTAAGGTAGGCATGCTTGTTTCAAGTTCCATGACCATTTTCTAATTATTTTATATTTATTTATTTATTAATGGTCGACAAAACGAGTGTCTTCCTCATTATTCAATAGAATATACAATAGAATTTTATGCTAAAAGCCTAGTTAAAGGATACAATTTTCTAAATAGCATCACCGACCGATGGAGGTGTTTTATTTGCCAGTCCGGCCAGCTGTGCCCCTTTTCACAGCTAATTTTGTCAGTGACGCTATTAGAGCCTACATCTAAGCAGAAGGTTGTAAGTAGGAAAAAAGTGTTTTCAAGTATCATTAAAATAATCTTAATTTGCTATATTAATAAAGAAAATACAATAAATAGGAAAAATGAAAGTAAGAAGAATTGTTAATAAAGTAAAGCAATGTAAGTTAGATAAAGAGTGTTAAGTAGATAGGACAGAGAGAAAAGTAATGGGAAATCACCGACCCGGTGGGGGAAAAATTTTTCAGCCTGTCCGGCAAGCTATGCCCCTGCTCATAGCTGGGAATGGTCAGCGACTTCCCGAAGGTATCCTGAAAGCAACGATTTTATTAGGGGTAGAGACAGTTCGGTAGAGAAAACGTGATGCAAACTATTATAATTTTTACATAGCACGCGAAAAGGATTGTGCATAGCGTAGTCTGTTGTGCACGTAGATAGTAAAAAGGGGCGATAATTTCTGGTTGGTCTAGCCGGAACAGAGAATTGAAGACGCCCTAGCAGAAAAGGAGAATCTATGTCGCCAATAATCAACTTATGTAGAAGGACAACACCGAGAATTGTCCTACGGTTGGTTAACGACGGAAGGTTGAGAAGAAGCAGTCTGCTGGAGTAGGATGGCAACCGAAGATTAGGGTCCCAATTTAAACCTCGTAAGGCAAAAAGCAGAAATTGCTTCTGAACAGATTCAATACGATTCAAGAGTATACAAACAGTTGAAATACCTTCATTTTATTCATCATGTGTCATATTGTTCGATTCGTGTTGATGCGATGTTGTGATGCAAGCAAGAAAGTGCCTTTAAAGCTCGTCAAACTCCAGATACAGCCGCATGCATAAATGAAACAATAATTTATGCTCTTAACATGATCATTGTCTATATATTTATTTATGTACATTTCAGCAATGTGGGCATAAAACGTCAAACTACACTTGAGCATTGCGAAAGATTGACCGCAACGCACAGTTACGAGTTACGTTTAGGTTATTGTGTGTGCGTCTTTTTTTGTTGGGGTAAAAGGCAGGGTAACTAGCATTTAAATAGCTAAACAAAAGCCAAATAAAGCTAAACATAATCAAAGCAAACACCCACCGCTGGCGGCGCAACAACAAACACACAACAAAATGCTGATATCAACGTAAGTAAAAGTACAAAAAAATTTAAAAAGAAATAACTAAAATAACAATAACAGCTACAATAACAGGCAAAAATTGTTAATTGCAATCAAAATGTGAAGCCCACAAAATAAAACAAAAGCAACAAACACAATTTTTGACCCACTGATGTTGACCCAGTTGAAGTTGGGTTTTTTAATCAAAAAACAACTCGATTGCTCGCCGCGCAGGCTTCCTTTGCACCACGTCAATCAGTCAGTCAGTCAGTCAGTCAGTCAGTCGGTCCGTCAGTCAGTCAATCAGTCAGTCACTTAGTCTTCCTGCTGTTGCTTTTGCACTTTGTCGCCCCATAAATATTGCATAATCTGTGCAGCTCTTGCTCTGTGGGATCTCTCGCCTATAGCTTGTGATTTGACTTTTCCTACGCTTCGCCCTTCGCGCAGCTTTTTGTGCTCATGTGTGTGTGTGTATCTGTGTATCTGTCTTTTGCATATTTGCGCGCTGCGTCAAGCGAAAAGTCCGACCGCATTTTTGCGCAGGGCGAACAAGTTTGTAATTGTGTCAAATACTCATACTCGATGGGCCATTGCATAATGTGGCCATATCAATGTCTCATTTGTCAGCATCTTCATGCGATTTTGCCAGCTTCAATTTATTAATATATTGACTTCCGTTGAAAACAATATTTGAACAGAACTTGGCATTTGAATGCCACACGCTAAAATAAAATATGAATATTAAAAGTCGACAAGCAAAATGTGCTTTGAACAGGCATGCGACTAGCAGATACCCTGTGCTGTGTACTCAGGAAATGTATCTGTTAGTCGAATCACTTTCGAATATCTTTCTTGCTGAGTTTCGTACAGTTCCTGTTTTTATTGTTTGTCTCCAAATTTGCATATTTGAATGGAAATTTCTGAAGTGTCTTGTTGTTATCTTGGAATTCCCCGACGTGCGCAGGCTAAGAATATATATATGTACGTATATACATTCCTTGAGGGTTAAGCATTTTAATTTATATGCCCATCATGCAGCGCATCCAGGCGTGACGAACGCCCAGCTCCGACCGAGAGAGAGAGAGAGAGAGAGAGAGAGAGAGAGAGAGAGAGAGAGAGAGAGAGAGAGAGAGAGAGAGAGAGACAGAGAGAGACAGAGAGAGCGGGAGTAAGCGAAAGAGAGTGCCAGCTGCGACTCAGATGCGTCTTAAAAGCGTCTGGGCTTGTTTAGATTGCGTGCCTCGCATTAATTTAATTACATATGATTAGATAGATCAATCATTCTCAACCAGTTGCTGTTGTTGTCGCAAATGCAATTGCAGCTAAGGCTTATGTAAGTGCATTATGGCTGATTGTCGAAATAAACAAAATAAATTCATCACTCGCCTGTCATAACACATTTCCTGGCTGCTGACTCAGTGCTCTGACTCGGGGATTTACCAAAAGAGTTCCACAAAATAGCTTACGAGAAGATTGTCTAGTGTGGGCTGGCTGGGAGATGAGCTCATTAGCACGTGGAAATGGGGACCTTTTGACCATATTATAATTACAAACTGTCAGCGCGATAGTTGTTTAACTGCGTGCACATTTTATTTGGCATGGAGTCTAAAGAGTTTTTCTAGTTTTTAATTGCACACAAATTTTGTTTAAACGGCATTTTTAGAAATTGTTAAGATATACATTAGGGTATTTATGTGTTGTGTATTTCAAGAAATATATTAGGTACACGCCTTCGCACACATGCGCCCACAAAAAAGTTTACTTTATTGGCTAATCTTATGACATTTCTCACGGCGTTTCGTAATTTTATTTTGTCACCCGAAAACAACACAAATAACGATGCATATTTTGTTAATAGGCGTGTGTGTGTATGCAGCTTAATAGTGCTCTAATAGCTAATTAAATTATCAATAAGCATGCACAAATAGCAACAACAAACAAAAAAACGATCAAATTTCCAGCCATAAATGTCAAACGCACCCAAAAAACTAAAAAAAAAAATTAAAAAAAAAAATGTTGGCCTGTTGTCATTATAAAAAACTACTTGGCCTGACCTTGTCCATTGTTGACTGTGCACACACACACACACATACACAGTGCACACGTATAAAGGCACACAGAAATTTACGCAATTTACGCATACACATTTGTTGGCTCTGACTAACTCAATAATAGACAGACACACACACAAAACGCAAATCGAAAGACTCAAGCAACGAACTTGAAATAGATTTCGTCAACGACTTGCTGCTTGCTAGTTGTGTTAGTTGTTGTTGCTGCTGCTGTTGCAGCATGACATTCCTGAAATGTGTTTCATTTACAGAATTAATTTGTCCAGAGCTTAAACAGTTGCCCCGCCCGGTCGCAATATGCAAATATTATTATCCGATAGGCTTTGCTTTTGAGGATGTTTGCCTGGCACTCACCGCAGCCATCAGCTATTGGGCAATCACAGTCAGTCGCTCATTCTCTTATTCGCAGCTCTCAGCTTATACGAAATGCAAACATTTTGCTGTCTGATTGGCTGCTTAAAATATTTATTTATATGCTGGCGGGTAGTCGCAATCTCTTAGCCCTAAAGCAAACGAAGATATATATATTTTTTATTGAGATATTCACGTTGACGCTGGCAGCGTTCAGTCAATGACCTTGAACTAATTTCCCATTAAATTCGATATGCCTTAAATACATTTATTTATATATTTTGGTTATGACTTGCATTTTATTAATGACTTAAAAGCCCGAACTTTTATTAGGTGTACATTTTATGAAGAGCATGTTAGTCTGTTTGCGTGTGTTTGTCAGCCAATTAGTCACACTCTTTGCCAAAGAAATTCATCAACATGGCCCACGGTGCAGCTAACCTTGACCCAAATGAGGCACTCTCTGCTGCCGTTATATGGTCTCAGTGCAGTTTTGGGCATGCGCCGGCCGCTGCGCTAACTCAATTAAGCAGTTGGCAGCGTATTTGCATTGCAATTGCACAATCGACGCGTCAAATGAAAATGCAAATACAAATGCGAATGCATTTTGCATAAGTATGGATGCATGTATTTGACTAACGGCTGACCAACTGCTGCTGTCGCTGTTGGGCAATCAAGCAGACCAGACCAGACCAGGCTAAGCCAGTGCGGCTTTAACCACTCGGAGGCATTCACTTGCACACCAAAGTTTGTTGGCAGAAAAAAGAAACGTTGAGTAAGACTCTTCTCTGCACAGCATAGTGTGTGTGTGTGTGTATGTCTCAATGTGTGTATGTGTGAGTGTCTGTGTGACTACCAAATGGCTTGGTCAAACTATGCATTGAAAAGAAAAGTGTTGCCAAGCTGCTTTTGTTGTTGGCCACATAAGTCGTTTGCGTTATGTTTTTGCAATGTGATGCTGACATAGTTTATATACCCTGTACGCTAAAAATTACACCGATTGGGCATGATAAACCTATGCTTGTTAATCTTGAAAATTACAAAAAGCTGTGCAGGTTAATTTTTTCAAGTATTTTATTTATTTATTTTTGTAACGATTAAACTTTGCCAATACAAAAATGTTAACATATGGATTTTTATGTGCCCATATACAAATCCAGGTTATTTTAGATTTGATTAAAGCCTCTATATAGCAGATAAATGTAAAGTGTCATCTAATCGATATCGATACATCTGCTTTATATCTCAAATATATTATACGTCATATGTAAAAAAGTTGGCATCAGTAGAGGGTATCGCTTAGTCCATCATTCTCGAGCACAGCATAATCGCTGGTTATGTGTATTAATGATAGTCAACCGGCTGCACATGAGAGTGGGTCAACAGGAAATGTTCAAAGCTGTGCACGATTCTAAAACGAATGACTTAGGCAACAAACAAACAAAATGTGACTCTATTTTACTTTTGTATACATATCTTATCTGTGCTTTAGTTACTGTTTATCAGCGTTGTCACTGGCCATATTATTAACAGACTCGTTTTTTATTTACAGTGTCTCCACAGACTCCGTCATGACGGCCACAAACAACGATGGTGGCACACAGCCGAATCCGGTGACCGTTTGGGGTGCGCCCGCGGCTGGGCCGAGGAACACACAGGCGGCGGTATCAGTGCGACACGCCTTTAAGGCCTATGGCAAGAAGAAGAACGCTAATCAAGTGTTGAACAATTTGAATATGACAGTGCCTAAGGGCACAATGTAAGTACACAGACTCCAAACAATTTCATATGGACAGATATGTCAGCCCGCAGTCAATGCTAATCAAGATTTCAACGAAAAAAAGTGAAATGTTGACAGCTGCCAATAAATTGGAAACGGCGAAAGTAATTCACACATATCACTTAACGCGACATCAATATCTGCTATAGTTACTATATATGGTATATGGCTATATGCCATACAGAACCACATTCAATGTTAAATTCGTTTTTAATTCGAATTTCCTTGTAGCAGGTTTACGCTTGCACAACCAGCGCGTATTTTCCGTGTGGCCTAATCAAAGGTCAACCGATTGCTCGCCAACTTTAATAGCCGCAATTAACTATGCTTCTACAAGTGTGTGTGTGTGTGTGTGTTTGAGTGTGCGCGCAGTTCGATCTAAATACAAGCGTAACTAGTTTCGAGCGTCTTGTAATTGAAACAACATTTTTGCATTGTAAATTGATGCTGCGGCAAATTAAACGTGTTTACCGCGTATGCGCTCGTTATGGCCTAGGGTTGTCAGAGCTGTTAAAAAAAAAAAAAACGAAAAGATGATTTAGCTTTGGCTTATGCAAGACTCAATGCCGCAGCAACAGACTTCTTTGTTAATTGGCTATTAAAAGTGTCTGAAAACTTGGTCTAAGGGCATGCACAATCTAAGCAATTCATATTAATTATTCACATTTAAAAGACACGCGCGTGCTTTACAGCCTTATAAAATTGGCCACAAAACGATTAATATGCCAAATTCAATTTAAGTGCTCACCCGCTCTCTATCGTTCTCTCTCTCTCGCTCTCTAGTTGCCAGATTTTTTGGCAAACATTTAGCGGCCATAAAATTCAAATCGCAAATTGTTTTTATGATTTTTAGCTTTGGCATTGGCATGACGGTTGGTCCGGCATTCTTTTAGCCACAATTGATTGCGCAAACCAAAACAAATATAAATAAAAAAAAAACCAAATTTCCTAACTGCATTAAATTCTGTGCTTGACCCAGTATTTAAATATAATCCACATGCTATAACGGTTATATGTTTATATAAACTAGCTTGATCAATTTCGGCTTGACCTAGGTCAGGTTGGCAGTCAATGAACCCCAGAGCTGTAGCTTAATGGTTTTTTCTATTTTTTATTTGTGTTTTGGGTCGTGTCAAAGTCGCTGCGTTAATTAAAAGCTGAGACGCCGACATTTTCGTGAACTCACACAAAATTCGATTCGTTAAATGCTGGAGCATGTTAATTATAATAATAAATCCAATAACAAGCCGAAACGTGCGACCTACGTGCCGCAAAAATATTGTCAAGGGCTGCATGCCGAAAGACCAAAAACCAGATGATAGACGACAGACGCGTTCTCCATAACGCAACGATAACAACAATAATATTAATTGTAATGATCGTGTTGTTATTGTTATTGTTGCTGATGATTATGGGTCTGGCAAAGAAGGTGGAGTCGGGTTGCGGCATTTGTTAGCTGACTGCGAAAAACATGTCTCCGTTTTCAAGGTGAACATTTCGAAATAATTCAACTTGAACTGCTGAAATTAACATTGACATCGCCGTTGACACGGCACGAATAGCCCCACACACCCATGTACACACACACACGCACACACACCTGCACTGACTTTTACTGACTTATAGGTATGGCTTCTATATAGGTATGTGCACGTCAGCACTTATTTCTCGATTTATCTAATTTTTGTGCCGAGCTCGCATAAAAAGCGTTTTGACAGAAGAGCGTGCGCTTTCATGCTTGGCTAACAGATAGAATATAAAAACAAAAACATTTTGGACGTTGCAGTTTGGGGCTATTTAATAATGTATATAAATGCTCCATTCTCAGCTTGTGGGCGTGGCACACATGTTTGGCGTCAGCTTTCAGAGAGATTTTTTGTTGTCGCATGTGCTAGACTTTGTTCTAGCTATAAAGCTGAGGCAGATGTGCCTGGCCGGGGGAATTAGTGGGCGTGGCAAAAAGTAATTTAAGTCTATAATATTGAAAATATTTTGGTTGTAATAACATAGTTGAAGTGATTCGATTTAGGGTTTGAACTAATGTAGCCTCTTTTGGTTTCCTTTTTTAACCTGGTTTTTCACCACACTGAATCTAATTTTGATTAAACTCTGGTTCAATGCAATGTTGCCCAATTTGAAATCAACTAAATCATAAGAAAACGTTGTACACAGTTCGGCTTATCATCAAAAAAAAAAAAACATATTTTAACGCAGGGACCGAAGCACTTAGGCTTAGGCCCAGCCTAAAGTTTTTTTCTTAAGAAATTAAATATATTCCTGTGTTGCGAAGGCTAGTCCGCAAATATCTTAAGTATCGTACTGGGAGTATAAGAATATGACAACCAAGTCGAATAGAGCTCAGATGCTCACGAAAATGTGGCTAGCATTCGTTAAACTATGTACTGACAGTCAGACTATTCATCAAACTAATATGGACGTTTTACTCTCTGGGTACACGGTGCTCAATCTTTTTCACCTCTCAACAAACTCTTGCATCCACCCTCAGCTATGGCCTGCTGGGTGCCTCCGGCTGTGGCAAGACCACTCTGCTCTCCTGCATTGTGGGTCGTCGCCGTATGGATGCCGGCGAGATCTTTGTGCTGGGCGGCAAGCCGGGCACACGCGGCTCAGGCGTGCCCGGCAAGCGTGTGGGCTATATGCCGCAGGAGATTGCGTTGTACGGCGAATTCTCTATACAAGAGACCATGATGTACTTTGGGTGGATCTTTGGCATGGAGACCAAGGAGATATTGGAGCGCTTGCAGTTTTTGCTCAACTTTCTCGATCTGCCTTCGGAAAAGCGTCTCGTGAAGAATCTGAGCGGTGGCCAGCAGCGACGCGTCAGCTTTGCTGTGGCTCTCATGCATGATCCAGAACTGTTGATTCTGGATGAGCCCACAGTGGGCGTAGATCCGCTGCTGCGACAGAGTATCTGGAATCACTTGGTGCACATCACCAAGGCGGGCCAAAAGACGGTGATCATAACCACCCATTATATCGAGGAGGCGCGCCAGGCGCACACGGTAAGTGGCACCCTGCCGAGGCCAATCCACATGCGAAACTTAATGTGATGATTACTTTCAGATTGGTCTGATGCGTTCTGGCCACTTGCTGGCTGAGGAGTCGCCCAGTGTGCTGCTGACCATGTATAAGTGCATTAACCTCGAGGAGGTCTTTCTCAAGCTGTCGCGCATCCAGAGCCAAAAGGGCGATGTGACCCATGTGAATTTCAGGTGAGTGTTGATTCTGTGCTCTGCATGCTGCACGTAGTTAATATGTAACTGAAACCCGTAACCGTCACTCATCTAATCTATGTATCTCTTGATTCTATTGGACCTGACACTCGCATGCTTGCAATCTATGTACCACCAACCATCTCTCTCTCACTCTCTCTCTCTGTGTGTGTCTGTGTGTTTGTTTGTGTTGATATCGATGACAGTAACAACATCTCGTTGCATGCCATGGCCTTTGGCAGCAAGATGGATAAACCCAGCTCCAGTCAGGAAGGCGGCGTCGTGGGTCTGAATTTCCATCAGAGTAAGGAGGTGCTGATCAATGATAGCAATGGCTCCATTTACACGGTCTGTTTGGCCCACCATAACGCCTTCAATTTGCCCGCTAACAAGTTCTTCACTTTTCAACAGCTGAACCAGGAACCGTACAGTCCGCCGCCTTCGAAGCGCCAGAACAATCCCAACGATGAGGAAAGCTGCCAGGATTGCTTTGCGGATCTGTGCAAGGTCACCTCTAAGGGCAAGATACGCGCTCTGCTGACCAAGAATATGCTGCGAATGTGGCGCAACGTGGGCGTCATGTTGTTCATCTTTGCGCTACCCGTGATGCAGGTTATACTCTTCTGTTTGGCCATTGGACGCGATCCACAGGGCCTCAATTTGGCCATTGTCAACAACGAAATGAACAACACGGTGAGTACATGAGAATGTATGAAATAATAAACATGCAGCTTCCTAACCCTTGCCGTCAGTCAGTCAGTCAGTCAGTCAGTCAATCAATCAGCCCCTCAATAAATTAGTTAGAAGGAACAGTCATATAAACATAAATAGATACCATATACGGCTTTGCTAATTAAACTTGATTACCAAACGCAGGATACCTGCTTCTGGGAGGATGGCTGTCACTTTGCCAATCTGGGTTGTCGCTACTTGAATCATTTGAACACAAGCGTGGTGAAGAGGTATTACACGGATATAGAGGACGCCAAGGCGGCGGTGCGACGGGGCGAGGCTTGGGGCGCTGTGTACATTACGGAGAACTTTACGGATGCGTTTACGGCGCGCGCTGCCTTGGGCCGGGACTCAGACGACGAGACAATTGAGCAGTCCGAGGTGAAGGTGTGGCTGGACATGTCCAATCAGCAAATTGGCGTCATGCTCAATCGTGACATACAGCTGGCCTATCGTGACTTTGCCATGGGCCTGCTCGGCCAGTGCGGTAACAATCCAAAATTGGGCGATGTGCCCATACAGTTCAGGGAACCCATCTATGGCACAATGAATCCATCCTTTACCGATTTCGTTGCACCTGGCGTGATATTGACGTAAGTGCCAATTTGCATGGTCACATTAATATTAATTGTATTCCATGACATTATTGTTTATTCTTCCATGTATATATATATATGTTTTTTATAGCATTGTCTTCTTCTTGGCTGTGGCATTGACGTCATCCGCGCTGATCATCGAACGCACTGAGGTGGGCAAATCGAATAACAAGAATAAGAACAACATCTCAACATGGTTGTCATTGCTTATATACTCTTTCCTTAGGGCCTGCTGGACCGCTCTTGGGTTGCCGGCGTCTCACCCGGCGAGATTCTCTTCTCGCATGTCATCACCCAGTTTGTGGTCATGTGCGGTCAGACAACGTTGGTGCTCATCTTCATGCTGGTCGTCTTTGGCGTAACCAACAACGGTGAACTGTTCTGGGTGATTGTTTTGACGCTGCTCCAAGGCATGTGCGGCATGTGCTTTGGATTCCTCATCTCCTCCATTTGCGAACTGGAACGCAATGCAATACAGCTGGCACTGGGCTCCTTCTATCCCACGCTGCTGCTGTCCGGCGTTATTTGGCCCATTGAGGGCATGCCTGTGGTGCTGAGGTAAGCCTAATCTGCTCTGATCCTCTCAAGCATTTGCTCTAACCGCTTCACTTCGCCCATCTAGATACATCTCGCTGTGCCTGCCGCTGACGCTGGCCACATCCTCGCTGCGCTCCATATTGACGCGCGGCTGGGCGATATACGAGTCCGATGTGTACATTGGCTATGTGAGCACGCTGTCCTGGATTTTGGGCTTTCTGGTGCTGACGATGCTGGTGCTGCGCTCCAAGCGCGGCTAGAGTGCGCCGGGCGCGGGGTTCTTAAGTTTTAGAAAACTAATTTTAAATGCGTCAAACTTAATTAGTTTGCGTTTAGACTAGGCCGCTTTTAGTAGTCATCCCCTGTCTGCCCCTTCTCCCGTAAGCCACCACCCCCACACACTTAACACACCTCTTAAAAATTCGGAGGTTCTAGCGTGTTTCCAGCTCTTTGCTTTATTTTCTGTCTTTTTCACTTTTCAATCTGCCTAAATGTCATAAATTATTTAAGCACACATGCTACTTCTTCTTCTTACTATGTTTCATTCCTTGCAAACTTTTCCTTAATTTAAGTTGTGCACATTTTTTGTAGTTTAATTCATAAGGTTTAGGTACATAAATCAATTGTTGTAAATATTTAGAATCTGCAACGTTATCACACGGCAAAACCAACAATGGAACCCCCAATAGTTAGTGACGTCTCGAGCGTCAAATAATTTCGCAAGACACTTTCTGAAATTCATATTCTTAAAAAAAAAAACAAATAGAAAAAAAACAAACAGAAAAAAAAAACAAAAAAAAAAACGGGCAAAAAGCACACAACTAATTTTATATATTTTCAATGGACTGTGATTGTACTTTTTTTTTGTTTTAATATTGCACGCATATTCAACTTGGGCGCGAGCCCCAAGAAGTATACATAAACAGAAAACAAGCGAAACAAGAAAAAATATCAAACAAAAAAAAAATAATAATATTGGTGGGGTTTGTTAGTAACATTAAGTAGCTTAAAACATTTTTGTATGGGTTTAAGTTTTTTAAGTTAAAACGTAATTAAATACATTAATGTTAACTATACTACTTAAATGATAATATAAATGTTATATATTTCTGTGGAAATGTTATGCAAGCGGCATAAATATTTCTCAACGAACAAAACAACAAACAAACGAACAAAACAAGATACTTCTTATTTAAGCAACATTAATAATGTGAACGCAATTATGTATAAATAATAAAAATGAATAAAATCCAAACTTTAAAGCCATTTCTTTCGCAAAACTTAAGAAAAAGTCAAAACAGTTAGTAATTTCACATTTGAATTGGCGCTTAGCTGCGCAGTAATCGTTACACAGCACTGCTATTGCTGCGTGAGTTGGCAGCACCGCGTTTTAGTGCTGCCCAGCGCGCGCATGAAACATATGTTCGTTGCGCTCTCAGCAGCAAGAAGAAGTATCATAACAAAGAAAATTTCGCGAATGAAGTTCATTTTAACGTTTGCAAATAAGCAAAATGTGATAAATGCGTAATTAATAAAATCACATTTAGCACAACAAAATGGACAAGTCCAGCGCCTATGAGAAATTCACTGGCCATGTTGACCAACTGCGTAATACAGAATGCAGGTGAGCGTTTGTTTGTGTTTTTTTCTGCACTGGGGCTGCAACAGACCGGCAACAGTTTGTTATTGCGCAAAGGAAAAAAGTGCCTGCAAATTGCATTATAATTCGGCATTCAAAACATTTTCTGCTGATATTGATCAAACAACATTAGCTGTTGCTGTTAGCTGTTGCTCAAGAACAGCCAGCGCAGCGGGTTGCACATTCGCAATGACGTCATCAAATACCTTTGCAATAAGCGGATTACAGTGGGCACTCTTAACCGTAAACTATGATAAACGTATTAATGCGAGAAACATAAGTTGAGTATTAACTGAACAGGTTTCCATTTGCTGATTCTCAAGTTCTTTGTCGTAGATCTATTTTGAACGTCAACACTTCGAGATTAACAGACTATGTAAAGAAAAACCAGGTATTAACTGTAGAGCGTACCATCAAAGAGTTAGTTGCTCGAAGTCCAGGGGCTAAAGCTTATGGTAACTCGATCAAGGCTGCGAACAACAATACATTTTTGTAGATTGTGGAAATTTATAAACATCCGAAGTGTGCATATTCTTGATCATACCTGACAGCTGTTGCGATATAGCCATAAGTTTGTATGAAAACAAATATTTCAGTTACATATAATGAAACCTTGCATATATAGCAGATCCGATTACATTAGCTCATAGCTGGCACAGAAACAATCGGTTCGAAGTTGAGTTAAGTCAAACCTTTCGAGCCTTACTCTGCTCCACGCAATCTCATCAGATGCGAATTACAATATAATATGGTTCTTATAGGAACAGCCGGCTTAAAGTTGAAGTTGATATTGCTTGTATGTTAAAGAAGACATTTAAAAAAGTTACTTTATTTGCTGCACATAGGCACTGACACATTTTCTGCCTATTGTGTAGTTGTAGTTGTGCCAGGAGCTTATGCCTCAGCCTCAAAGTGGGCAATCATCATGGAAAATCCCTTCGTCATCATGCCACCCGTCCAAATATATTATACGCATTAACGCATTATTATATTAACTCCACAATATGGTAAACTCTTTTTAGCCAAAAGCAAAAGATTGCCTGCTTCCAGCAGATTGCCGAGTGCATCATGTCAGCAGCTTTGGCCGGTCACATCAATTATGCCGCACACTGTGGCACAGCCACCAATGTGTTGTTGCTCTTTTGCGAGGATTTCGATTCGGTGGTGCGCATGAGCGCCGAGGAGAACCTAAACAAAATCTTTCGTGCCTTGGAAAAGACGCGAGTCAGTCGCATCTTGATGGATTTGTATGGTGAAATCAAGCGGAATGGTAATCAGCGGTAAGTTGGGCCAAATAAATACTTTAAGCTTCCATAACTAATTGAACTTTTGTACGCTTTCCAGATCGCTGCGCATATGTCTGAATCTGTTTGCATACTATGCGCCGCAAATCAAGGAGAAGCACATCAAATGGTATGCTGTGCGCCTGCTGCAATGCATGTCCATCATGTCGCAGCGCAAGGAGACGCTACTCCAGGAGACACTTAGCGATTTTGTCAAGCATTTTGGACGTTACGTGCAGCATGGTCTCAACGATAGCGAAACGTGCAAATTGCTTGAGGTAAAACATCGTGATAATGGCAGATAGTTATAGTTAGCTAGAGTGAGGCTTGAGCTGTTTAAATAGATATACAACTAAAGAGTTTAGATTAATTATAAATTCTTCTTATAATTATAAGTGAAGATACGGATAAGACAATGTTATGTTATTCAAGCTGAGATTCGAACCTGGATTCTACTAGGAATGTTCCTGTCTATAAATTTTGGCTTGATTTAAGGGAAGAAGTACCTTAAAATCCGCTTATAATATATATTGTCGAGTTTAACAACTCTTTTAAAAGCAATTGTATTATAAGTCAATGTGCCTTGAGTCTAAAGCTCTAATCAACTAAATTAGCCCAGCTTGCAAGCATTTGTGTATCAGAGGCTTCCGGTTGTCTGTCTCACTTGCTTGTCCGACTCCCAATTGGCCGGAACGTGCCACGCTATATGTCGATTTGTTGATTCACATCTCTCAATTTCTTTGATTGCAGACATTCCTTGGCAACATCAGCTCGGATTGCGCGGTGAAGCGTCGCTGCTCGGCACAAAATTGCATCAGCTTGATTGAGCATGCGCGCAATAGAAGCCTTATGGCCAGGCATGGACTGAGCAAAGTGATTGGTAAGCCAACAAATGCCGGATATGAAGTGTGCACGTGCACGTCTCTATATAGAATATATATACATATTTATCTATATCATGGAAAATACCAAGTGTATCAATTGTTAATGCAGCTGTCGGCTGTGGCATTTATTTGTGTGAATATTTAGAATTGCTTTTTGTTCTCAATTGTTGTTTGTTTTCTAAACTAATCCGTGTGCCAAATGTTGTTGCAATCACAGTTGCTGTTGTTGTTGCTTACCATTTCACGCATTTACGGAATGCAAACAGAAAAAATCGCTTTAGTTTCATCAATAATGAAAACTGTGCTTAAAAAGCGTGTAACGGCTTTAACGCGCCAAATGCCAAGTGCCACATACCTATCGACCATTCACATATATGTAAATATATGTGTGTGCATATGAAATATTTTTTAATATTCTAAAAAGCCACAAATCCATTGAAAATACCATTTCAAAATATACAACCCAGCGCATTGTGGACTTTGCGGGGCTTGGGGCTTAGGTTTGAGTTTGAGTTTAGGTTTGGGTGCTGCCCGTTGAGGACTATACAAACTAACTGTAAATGCAATCACAGTCAGTCAGAGCATTTTCTATGGTGTTTATTTGTCTGTCTGCTGTGTGTGCGTGTGAGTGCGCGTGTGTGCCTGGGTGAGTGCGCGAGGCAGCCACAGCTAAAACTAAAATGTCAGTTGATATAAATTATATTTCTACATTGCAGTTGGTTACCTCTTGCATGCGCTGCATTGCCAAGTATACCTATATGTAATGCATATATGTGTGGATATTTTTTTACGAATTTGTTTCGATTTTAGACAACGGAAACGAGCCAGTTTTTATTTAGCTATTTTCTGTCTGGCAACTGCAGCAATAACTGCACTGCCAACAAAAATCATACCAAATGCGAGCAACAACTACACACGAAAGAGAGAAGTGCATTGTATAAATTTCGAATAACAAAAAGCAAAAATACCTAAAATAAGTTTTAATTTTTGCAGCACAAATCATTTTTTATTGAATTTTCATAGAACGCTTTATTGGCAAACATGCCGTAAAGGTAAATGCGCAGCGTTTTCATATTTAGGAATAGATTGCAATTTTAACTGGTGCATTTCAAGTGCATAAGTATTTGAGTTGATTTAAAAATCGCATTCAAAACTTGATACAATTACACACACAATTTGTTTACATTAAACAATTTATATTTGCATTTGTGACCCAAAACAAAAAATAGCCATAAATTTCGAATTTTGTTTTACGGTCAGAAGGTAAATTTATACATCTAATGCTAACTGTATGGGGAATGCCATCTTTCTGGGCTGCGCTACATTGCGCTTTTCAGCTTTTTAGTTGTTTACCTTCAAATCAACTCCTTCAACTTCTGGCCTGTGTGGCTGTGTCAACTTCCAGCCACTGCTCGGCAAGTGCATGCCACAATGGCTGGTGGCAACAACAGCAACAATCACAACAACAAAAACCACAACTACTCAGTGCACAGTCTGCCGCCTCTTTTTATGGCAGCCATCAGTGTAGCAATTGCAACACACTCAACCCCCTTCCATACGCCGCAGTCTTGTGTCTTGCGCCTTGGCATGCCCCAACAAACACTCAGTAGGAGTAAGGTCCTTAACGCTATTGCTCCTGCTGCACCCTCTACTCCCGCACCTCCCGCTGCTTCTGCTGTTTGTCTGTTTGTTTGAGGCTGTAAGGCAGGCAAAATGAAATTTATGCACTTGGACACTTCCCTGTAATAATTCATGCGAAATTGAATCAGATATTCATTCCTGTGCAGCTTTAAAAGGATAATCAACTTTATAAACAGCCAGCAAACAACACCAGCTCCAAATTTATGCAGAAAACAGTTGTCGCGGCGATTCGTTGCAAAACAAAAGTGACCAAATTGTACATAAACAGCCGAGTAAACAATTTGACCAAGTTAACAAGTTATCCAACTTCCATCTATTTTCTTTTCTGAACATTTATAATTTGATTGTAGTTTAATGATTTGTTGTATGAACAAAAAGCACAAACCACAGTTCCTTCCACTTTTTTTAAGTGTTTATTAAATAAAAAGAGTATGGTTTTCCAGCGATATATAATACAAAACGCAGTGCTAATAGTTAATAAAAAAGCATTGAAACGTAGGTAAGAGGCATAGGACGGTATCTTCTTCAACATTATGTGTATAAATCAAGCATTAATTATATCCATGCCTGTCTCAATGAACAAAGCAATTTGATACGGTATAAAGCTAAAAAAACACACAAATTGTTGTATATTGTTTTGTGTCTAATGATTCACAGGTCGCATACGATCAACAGTAATTTTTAAAACATCGCCTTTCTATGCGATTTTCATAAATCCCTGCTCTATATTTTTTCCCTCTTTTTTAATCTCTGTCATTCTTTCTCCTTCCCATTGATAATCTCTTTGCCTATCTTTCTCTCTCTCTCCCTCTCTCTCTCTCTCTCTCTCCTCTAGGACACATTTTTACTCTCTGACCTACTCTCTCTTTCTTTACCTGCTCTATTTCTATCTGTCTTTCTCTCAATCGCTGTTTTTTTCTCTTTCTTTTTATACCCTTGTTATTCTTATTTCTAGTTTTCGCCCCGAATTCCCTGCTTGCCTTTTTTACCACGTTCATTCTGTGTGTTTAAGTCTTCATTTTTTCCCACTTGCTCTTATTCGCACTTGAAAATATTGCCTTTCTATGCAACTTTCATTCTCTTAAATAAGCGTACCCCATACTTTTGTGTGTTTCTCTTTTGGCGAGAAATTAGCTTATCGCATGAAACAGTATGGGATTATTTTTAAATGTTTTTAGAAGGTACTTTAATATAAATAAAATTTTTTTAAAGTCGAATCAAAAGTAGAAGGTTAACACAAAAAATATAATAATATTCTAACAAACGTAACATCTTCAATATTTCATAAGCTTGAGTGCTGCTCATTTCTGTGGTATTTTATATAATTCATGCAATCCATTGTCGAAATTGTCGCAACGTTGGGAATGTGGCAGTTCTTAAATGTGTGGCAGCTAGGTAGGCAGCTTCTGCAAAAGTGCCACTCAATCAAGTTGAATATTTCAGGCGTCAACTGATAAAAATGTGGCATGAAAAACTTTTCCCAGCTAGACAGGCATTGCGCGGCGCATTTCATATTAATTTGTGAGATTAAACACCTCGCGCTTTATCAGACATTAATTGAGTGCCTTAAACGTGCCTCAAGCAGCTGAGTTCATCTTAACTCTGGCCTAAGTTCTTTGCGGCTTATGGGCGCAATTAATTGATACACACATAAACATGGGCAACAAGTTTTATGCTGCTGCCCAAAGTCAATTGGATGGGGTCATATAAAAGTTGCTCCGGCACGGCGAAAAGTGTTTTTCAATTTTGCGGGAAACCCAAAGGAAAACGGCAAACTAATTGAGTAACAAAGTTGCAACATGGCATTTTGTGATTGGTGGCGTATACGTAATAAAAAGAGAGAACAAACAAGCATTCAGCGCAGCCTATGTGGGCGCGTGTGTGCGGGAATGTGTGTGTCGACGCAAAGTCTATAAATATAAGATGAAAACTTTTCAATGAGATAAATTTAATTGGTGGCAATTTGTTGCAAAACGTACGAGGGCGAGAGAGTGCGAAAAAGTTGCCAAAGAAATATGAACTGCAATTGGCCAAAGGTATGTGGGAGTGTATATGGGTGTATGCGTGTGGATGCGCTGCATAGTTTGAGCTTGCGTTTTTAATTTGTGGCAGCAGCAACCGTAAGTTGTGCTCCGAACAAAAGGCATTAACCAAAAGTTGTCTATAGCTATTTATATAGCGTTACCTGATAGCCTGTACTCACTTGCTTTCACCTCTACCCTGCCAGAAATGCTACTGATGGATCAACAGACGAGCTGCGTGCTAGGCGCCTTGGGTTTACTGCGTCTGCTGCTGCCGCAGCTTATACGCGGCTACTCGTCGGATTACCAGGATGATGGCGACACCGTGGCGGATGCCGGACAACAGCAGCAACAACAACTGGCAGCTGCGTCCGATTGCCGGCAAATTATTGAAATTTATGATTATTGTTTGCACCTGCTGAGCACGCAGCACACAGCGAATCACGCCATCATAAATGCCGCACTGGAGGTCATCAATGGCATACTGCAGGCGCTACAGGAAGGCCCACCAGCTGCGACACAGGCGTCGGGGCAGGCAGGCTTTGGCGGACTGGCGCAAAGTTTGCGCCAACTGCTGTGCAATCAACAACTGGAGCACAATGAGTATTTGCGGCGAAGGAAATCATTAAAAAATCAAATATTCCAATTGAAAAATTACGAAGTGGGTACAAGTCAACAAGAGCAGGCAGCCGGCGGTACGGCAAGGCAAATGCAAATGGCGAAGAATTCGAATGCCAAACTGCAGCAGCAAAAGTGTCAACAGCAACAACAACAGGAGCAACTGCAGATTGGCAACAACTCGCTGCAAGTCGTGGGAATTAATGCCACGGCTGATGATGCTGACACCGAGGAAGATGCTGCTGCAAGTTCCGCTGCTGATGAAGGTAAAGTAAATAATGCAGAGTCTAGTTGAGCGTGTGTGTGTGTGTGTGTGTGGGAGAGAGTGTGTGCAGTCATGTGCGACTGTGACATGCTGACAGACTGACAAGCAGACAGACCGAAAGACAGACAGACAGACAAACAAGCAAACAGATAGACCGCACCGAAATCAAGAAAAGTGAGCAATGCCACTGTTACACATAGTCTACCTCCCCCCTGCGTTGCACTGCACCGCCAAGCCCACACAATGCACATATGAAAATTATTAGTGCAAGCTTTTAGGCGGCGGCGCATGCAAAATGAGGTCAACGCGAAATTTGCATTCGCCACCGCCAGCGACAACAACAACTGTTTACACAAATTGTAAAGCTAAACCCAATGCGAATTCCCTTCACCTCGCAGCAGTCAAAAAAACATCGCGACATCAAATTAGAAATGCTGCACGAAGCATTAGCGAATGCGTGGCAAGCAACGCATCAGATGAGGAGGAACTCCACCAGCAAGCCCTTGATGATAACGACGATGATGGTGACGATGATATGGAGCTGCTAAGTGCCATTGCGGATGATGAGTACGATGATGGCTTCACAAGGCTTTCGCAACTAAATGAGGCACAACCGACTGTGTCAGCGGCATTGAAAATGCCAAATATAACAGCTGCTGCGGCAACAGCAACAATAGCAGCTGTGGATGTGGATGTTGCATCAAAGCCTAAACCTCAGGCCGTGCAGCATCAATCGTCGCTGCAGAATCTGCTTGCCAGCGATGACAGATCCCAGCATTTGAGTGACATCGACAATGAATCCTTCAACAGCATCGATTTCGATGCGGAAATAACAATTGCTGGCGTCAGAGAGCAACAGACAGCAGCAACAGCAACAACAACGACAACAGCAACAGCAACATCAATAAACGAGTCAGTAGAGTCAATGCCAGATGCAACAGCAATTGGCACATTCTTCAACAATTTGTTGTCCCATTCAAATGCAGGTGAGTTGTTCATGCCAATACATAACTTTATTGTGTTTTGATACCTCTTAAATTAAAAAGTTTGAAGGGTATATTATGATGATGAATGGAAAATGTAGCTGAACTTAGAACAAAGTATGAGTTACCATAGCTTAAATGTGAATATGTCTTGTAGGGATATAAAATAGCATGTCCTTTGATCATTTATAAGAGATTTAATAAATATTTGTAAAACGTAAATATCTGTATTATAAATTATAAGGTATTGTTTTCTCATAGATAAAGTGATTTTCGACTTTCTCTATATTCTAACCATTTTATAATCTTTTGAATCCGATTTGAAAGGATACAAAAGATAAAAAATATGTGATGAATGGGAATAGTTAGGAAAACCTTTTATACATTTAATTGAACGGATTTAAGTGCAGATTTGATTTAAAGATTTTTTAGTACAATCCTTAAATGTAGTTTATGCATTTTATGCAAATTCTAAACTCAAGTCAAAAAATACGTATTTCATAGTTGAGAATAGATTTCATAAGCCATCCACACACATATTTCATTATTGTACTTGAAAACGCAAATAACGGACGATTGGAAAACAGTTTTCATTTGATGTTATTGGATTTCGCGGTCTGTCGTTTTTTGTTTTCCATTTCACCGCATTTATTTACAATATTTGTGCATGGCAATCAAATTATTTGCATAATTGCAGCTGAGTGCGGGCACAGAGAGGGCGAGATAAAAAGGGAGAGCGAGAGAGAGAGAGAGCGGGATCGAACGAGCGTGAGACAGTTATAGAGGCCCGGAGAGGCAGACAACAAGTTGGCTACTAAATTTGCATGTTGCCTTTTGCCAATTGCACTTGCAATTTAATGAAGCGTAATTGTTGTTGTTGTGCACTATGTTGCCTGCTCCCTGTGGAGTCAACAACAACAACAGCAGCAACTAAATTAAATTAGGCAATGCTCGAACGAGTTACTGCCAGCGCAGAGCAGTATGCATAGATGCAGATGGGAAAGAGATAGAGTGGGTGAGGCAAGGCGAGGCGAGGCGCGGCGAGTCACAAGTTGCATGCATCATTTGTCGCTTCAGTGGCTGCGCTTCGCTTGCAACTTTTTGTTGCTTTTGTATCCCGTCTGTTGACATGACAACAGCAGCAGCAACAACAACAACAATTACAACAGCAACAACACAAAAGTCAATAGCATTAGCAAACAATGTTTGCCATTCGAGAATTGAATTCATTTTGATTGAGAAAACGGCAAAGTTGTTCAAACTTATAAACAGTTGATGAATGCATATATGAATGCATGCGTTCATTCGCTAATGGCAGCACGTCTCGATTTGTTAGTAACAACAAGTTCTTTGTTTCTGTGTGTGTGCGTGTGTGTGTGTGCGTACTGCGCCTGCAGGTGGTCAACAAAAGATTTTTCCATGAACCCAAAAAAAAAGTGGCAAAAATAAAGGGATACGGTAGGCGGCTGTGTCCTGTCTTATGTGTGTGTGAGTGCGTGTGTGTGCATGCGTGTGTGTGGTGTTTGTGTGTGCTCGTGTTAATAAGCAGTGGAAATGCTGCACACAGAGCCGGAAGCACTAATTAACCGAATGAGTTGTATGTGCGTGCGAGAGAGTGCGCTATATGTTATGCGCTACGAGCGAAAGAGCGCGCAATATATGTGTGAAAAAGAGCAAAGAGAAATGAAAAAAGATGTAAAAAGAAAGCTTAAGCAACTACTTGACGTAAATGTTGGGCTTAAATTCGTCGTCTCTTTCTCTGTCTGTCTGTCTCTTTGATAGTCTGCTGGTCCGTGTGTGGGCTGCGGATTAAGCTTGAAACATGGCAATGCATTTACCGCGAACAATCCTATGCGAGGACAACCTCCATCTCTGTCTCCCACCCTTGTCGGTCCCTTCCCTGCGCTGTTCTAGTTGCGCGAATGCTGCTGCCACTTGGCCAAAGCATCACACTGCAAGTTGGCAACAAAGTGGTTAAGACAAATGGGTTACGTGATAAAATGCGGTTACTCAAATTGCATGTATGCAAGCTTACATCTTATGTCACTGTGTGTGTGTGTGTGCATGTGTGAGTGTGTATGTGTGTGTGTGCCTGTTTGTGGGTGTTTTAGTTTATTTAGCATTGCCAACCAGCCAGCCAGAATTGCGAGCTAGGCCAGAGGATCTAGCGTTCATTTAGCTGCTTTTGCTTTGCATTTTTTTGTTGTTGTTACTGCTTTTGTTGTTGTTGTTGCGCACTTATGCGCTATCAGCCTTTTTACGCTGCCGCCTCACCCCCTCTTGCTAGTTATTGTTGTTGACTTTTTTCTATATATACATATGTATATCAGCCGCCGCCAATCTTCATCCGCAGCCAAAGAGCGTCACCAAATCCTGCAATTTGTATGCCCTAACAGTTGACCAGATCATCATGTTTATCACATTTTGTTTGGATGAAGATTCGGTTAATGCATAAAAATACAACTTAGAAGTTGTTTGTTACGGGTTCGTTTTTTTTTAAACAAATCACTTTTGCTACGTTGAGGCATTAATTAGATTGTTTTGTCAATTGTATCCTGTATCACGGCTTGAGATATTGCCCCGTCTTAAGGGATGGTTTGTAAGCTCGGTGTTCCACTTCTTTGGGGCCGGATTTTATTTTGAAGCTTGAATTGTCACATTTGTACAAAATTTAAATATTCTGTATTTCAATTTTTTCTATAGGTAATATTAGTTAATTTTTTGCTTATAATTGCTTATATTTATATATAATATTTCCCAGTAAAATTCGCTTCACAAGTGTATCCAAACTTCATTATATCGCAAGTTTTTGCCCTGTTTTCATAAACAATTTTTTTTTTGTTTTCGGTTACTTTGCATATGCTGCTGTGGGTTGTAGGCGAGTCTTTTGGCTGGTTATGTGTCACCCATAAAGTGGCAGCCCACATTTCCCTCACATTTCTGCAAACAGTTCCAGTTCTTCTTCTTGCGCGTTTTCCGTTCGTGACTGCCACGTTTCCTACGCGGTATTCGCTATCCTCTGCCTTTTTTTTTTGTGTTTTTCTTTTCAGAGAGGTTTTTCCTCATCTTTTTTTTTTGAGTATGTGTACTCATATGTACGCCCGCTAGTTTTATTTGTCATTTTGCTGTTGTTGCTCTTATTTTTAACGTGATTTTAAATAACAAAACTGTGCAAAAAGTTCTCGGGGCTGCTGCTGCTGTTTTATAACAGTTTCAATTTGTGGCACTCTACTTTTGGGGGGCGTAACGCTCTCGCCCTGCACTGCTTAAGTAAAACTATTAAAGCATAAAATGCAGCAGACAATCCAAAAGAATTACAAACATGTAGAGCACATGCATGCAAGTATTTTGGGCTATATGTCGGGGGCAACTCATAAAAACTGAAGCCAACTCAGCGCGTAGCGTGTTGCAAGTGCCGTTGGTTAGTTTTTGGTTAGCTTTATGGACGCAATGAACCCGCTAATTGCCTGCCTATAAAATTCAAAATAAGTTCCTTGAATTAGCTTTGGCTTAAGTGCGAATGTGAGCTTTATATAATATCATAGTTAAAACTTGTGGGTGTTTTGAGCTTGCGTCAATTTTCGGATAGCTTGAACTCATTGCCATTATCAGTGTACTCCAAGTACCCTAGCAAGGGACTCAAACAGACTTAGCTGCTCATCATTTCCCTAGTTAGCCTTTAAAACCTATACCTTATCTTATTGTGCTCCATTAAAGAATTCCAATAAATAACTTTTCCTTCACCCCAATTCCTTGATCCGCGCGGGAGTAACTTATAACTTTGTTTTAAATCTTACTCTAGTACAAATCATCCTTGTCTTATCCTAGCATAAACTGCATATTAGTTCACTTTCCACCTCCAGCCAGATCTTCAACGGAAGGTTCTGTTGTTCCGTTTTGCAATGTTGCTCTAATTTTACAGCGCGTTGCATGCGGTTGGTACATCCATTAGAAAATGCAACAACAACGACAATGGCATCAGCAACTAACAGATACAGCAGCTAAATAAAAACAATTTTTTAAGCCAAGTTAAGTGCGGTTGCGGTCAATGGTGGCAGCCTCACTCTCTCTCTCTCTCTTTCTCTGTCCCTTTCTCTCTCATCTCTCTTACTCTGTCTCTCTCTGTCTTTTTTCTCGCTTAACTTATGTGTACTATAAAATTTGAGTTTTCAATTAATTTCCAATAGCAATAGCTGCAGCTAAGGATAAGAATGTGCGGCACAAGTTGACTACATAGGAAAAAAGAATCGAAGTACTTAGTATGCTCTTAGTGAGAATGCACGATTAGCAGATACCCTGTTTATTTGTTCCTCCATTTTCATATGATTTTCTGGTTCATGTAAATGACATACATATTAGCAAGCCCTTTCTAGATTTTAAATCAAAGTTCAAGAAACGATTTACTTGAGTACCTATAAAACTATGCATAAAGGGTATTATCAGCAGCTTAAGTGAATAGTTTTAGAGTTTTCAGACATACCAGGATCGGGCGGGGGAGAGAGGACTTCATGTTTATTGCCATCTCGTGTTTAGAAAGTTTACAAACATTTTCCGTTTTGTTGCATTCTTAAAAGCCCCAATAGCCACGACGGCCGCGATAGACAAATGTGCCTGGTAATTGGCTACAAGTTCTGGTCGGTCCAAGGAATGGCTAGTGCCGGAGGAGAGTAGGGGTGTGGGTTGGAGCGTTGAGGTAAGCTGGCAGGGAGGCAAACTACAATTAGCTTGAGCCAACTTCGGGCTCGGCATTAGTGTCAGGCCAAGTTATCTGGCAAAGTTTCGACTGCTCAACTGAGCTGCTTTTTGTCTTGCAGCGTCGGAGTCGGTCAGTAAGCTCTTTCGTCAATCAAGCGGCCCCAAATCCACGCCAACCAAGTCGACCCCAACCACTGATAAATCGGATGCAGCATCGACGGCTTCCCTGACGCTCTCGTTGAGCTCGTTGGCCAGCAGCAGTGCAGCTGGGCTGCAGGAGCACCAGTCTTCAATAACAGAGACGCCCACGCCCGTGGAGGAGACTACAGGTTCGGCCAGTAACTCGTACACGGCATCCACGGCACTGCTGATGGATGTGCCGGCATCTGCTGCAGCAGCAGAGTCTGAACTGGAGCCGCAGCTGCGTCGCACGCCCAATGGTAAGTCAGCCGCTGTCCATGTGCAGCAACTAATTAGATTCTTTATCCTGCTAGCTAATCCCTTTCTGGCGGAGAGCTCACCGCTGAAGCAAACGATATCGGGCCGTGCGCTAATCAGCGTGAAAATTGGCAGCATTCTGGAGCAATCCCTTGTCTACTACACTTCACGGCTGCTCGCCGCGCGTTTCCTGCTGACCGGCCAAGCGGCCGGTCTGCACCCAGACAATGTCAGTCGTGTATCCATCAAGAGCCTGTCGCTGGCCGTGATGGCACAATGTGTGCGCCTGGCTCCACGTGTGCTGCAACTGCCACTGGAGATCAGCGAGCAGGAGCTGCAGCTGCTCGAGCAGGTCAGCGCCAACAGCACACAGGTTTCCAGTCCGCAGAGCAGCAACAACTCGCAGCGAAGCACGGAGCTGGACCAGTTGGCTAGTCAATCAATGACGAGTTCGCTGCTAGAGTCAAGCGTTGACAATACAGATAATCAGCTGCTCCTTGATATTAAGGACGATCACTTTGGGCCCAGCACCTGTCCCGCCTATCTGCAACAATCGCCCACGCTGAGTCGCAGCGCTGATGCCGCGCTGCTGCAATGCCAATTGGAGGCTAGGCGCCCGTCGAATCTACGACAGACAAGTGTGCCCGATAGTCAACTATCCAGATCGGAGATCATAGGCAGCGCGTATCGCGTCACAGTTGCCTCTGAGGATGCACCGCCATTGGCGCTGCCACCGCTGCCGCCCAAGCGTACCAAATCTATGCGCAGTCGCGCCGGTTGCAACACCACAATTGGAACGCCCTCGCCTATGATGACACCTAAGGCAAACGCTGGCGGTCAAGCTATGTTGGATGTGCTGCTCTATCACGGGCACTGTGATCCCATGTTGCGCGGCGGCGTTCAGCAAATTGTGGGCAACTTTGTGCAGTCAAGCAGTGCCGGTCGCAGCCTGCAGCTGCAGCCTGGACTCGGGCTGTCGCATTTGCTGGCCATTTTGCTAAAGGTATGCGAGCTTTACTCAACACTGGCAACAATAGTGTTGCATAGCCACAGGCGCCACGAGAGTTCTACTTTGAGTGTGGGTGTGAGTGTGTGTGTGTGTGTGTGTGTGTGTGTGCGTGCGTGTTTGTGCGAGTGGCTTATCTGATACGGCTTAATGTGGCAAACTATGCTCTACATGCATTTATCTATTCATATATACTCGTATCTCTGTCCATTGCTTGAAGCTTGCACCTGCCCCTGCCGCACGTGGCAACCTTATGCATAACGCATACGCCGCGTTGTTTGCCCTGCCCTTTGGTTCTCTCCTTCCACATTCTATAAATATGCGCCTCCACCTTTTCGCTGTACGTTCTTTTTTTTTTTCAATGTTAAACCAACAAGCTAACATATTTTAACACATGCAGGCGAGCACACACGGCCCACACACACGCACACACACACACACAGACACGTGTCCGTATCAATGGCTGCTGCTGCAAGCTTTTGAATATTATGCAGCCCTCGCCTTGCCGTTACCGTTGCAGTTGCAGTTGCAGCTAAGCCGGCGGCATTTTGTGTCGGGTTGTTTTTCATTTGAAAATAAGAAAGAAAATTCTTATCGCTTTCGCAATGTGCAAGTGCAAATGCCCCTAAGGGTAGCAGCGCATCCGTTGCCAAAGCCACTGCCACACACACAAACACATACACGCAGCCAAATGGAGAATGTGCGCATAACTTGCACATTGACTTCTCTCTTGAGAATTGTTAGGTACACAAATAGTATGTGGCCAGGCATTTGGATTGGGTTAAGTCCGAGTGGGAGTTCTTCTTATTGAATTCAATAATTTAGTGGCCAGCCGAAAATTTAAATTGCACTTGGCCCGCCCAAAAGCGCAATTTGATTATGCAATGTTGTTATGCAACGAGTTGAAAAGCGGCGCGAACGTGCCAGCTGAAAATCACATTAGATGCCTGCCCCATATAATGCCAGCAAATCCGTCTCAATGGCACTTGCCACATACACATATATGTACATACGTACCATCTATACAGTATGCAGAGTGAGTTCTTCCCTAGAGCAGGGCAACTGTGATAACAATAGCCCTTTGGCAGTGCTCGCTTCGCTTCGGCGAGGAAGAGCTTGTTAAGATTCGTTAAAAATGCACACACTCACACGCTCGTACACACACACACATATCTGCTTGTGCAAAACTTTTTGCTTGTGCAAACAATAAAACACAAATTCGCTTAGCAGCGCAAACTCAGCCAGAGCTCCAGCGTCTGGACTGTGCTCGGTCTGTTCTTGAGGCCAAGTATAAAGAAATTTAGTAAAAAAAAATTTTTTTTTCCTTGCTTTTGCACATTTGCAGGGCTTTGAGGACGAGATACACACAGTGGTCATACAAGCGTTGAATGCATTCGATAAGATATTTCCGCATGTGGTGTCCAAATATTTGACAGGGCCGCCATGTCATTATCATGCTCATCAGAAGCGACAGCAGTTGCAGCAGCAGCAGCAGCCAAGTGGACAACAAAAGGGTCCCGGCCAGGCCCAAACATTTGGCCAACAAACTTTTCCAAGGAATCTGGATAATGCCTTAAGCAGTCAGCAGCAGCAGCAGGAGCAAGAGCAGCAACAATGGCACTCTAACGATGACAACTCGAGGGCAGACGAGGCCAGGATATGTGCCAGGTCGTCAGCCACTGATAATGATGAGCTGCTAGCTGCTCTTTTGAATGATTTTCAATTGCAATCGAAGCGCATGCAGCAGCATAGCAACAACAACAGCAATAGCAACAACCACTATAATGAGCCTGGCCCCTGCTGTGTGTTTGCCATTTCACCAAAATTGCTCTTGAACAAACTTCGATTGTGTCGTCACAATAAATACTGGTTGGTCCAGAATAAATATGCCGAAGTTATTTCCAATTTAAATTACGTACTGCTGCGCTCCTACTACGCAAATTTCGACAGTGCCTTTGACAACAATAACAACAACGACAACAACAACAGCAACAACGACTCTAAGTTGGAGCCAAAGGATCATCGGCCAGCTACGCCTGACGCCTGCAACTGGAACACGGCCGCTTGTAACAAGGACATTGTCTGCACATATGAGGTAAGCAGTCAAATCGCCTTATTACCAAAAAAAAAAAAAAAGGAAGCACCTGAAGCACATCTCTCTGGCTAAGCCAAAGGCTGCTTGGCTTGTTTATTGTGTAGATTATTTTTGTTTTGTATACCCTTGTAGAGGGTATTACATTATGTCTTGAAATGTGTTACACATAGAAAAATACATCTGCGATCCCATCAGGTGCATATTTTCCTGATCATTATCCTTGTTGATATAGCCAAGTCTGCAAGCTAGTTTCATAGGTTCGTCATTCTGTTTCAGACAGTTTATGTGTCAGAATCGTCGGGATCGGATTACTATAACATATAGCTGCCAGAGGGATGATTGAAAATTAAATTATTTTATGAACAACCTTTTTGTTCTTCAAGATGTCTTTACCAAACCTGCCATAAATCTTATAAATAACATTTTTGTATGATGATTATATGAGCTCTTTCAATTTATCTTCTTCAAGCTCAATAATTACGAGTTTTATTAATCTCTCAACCACTATATTACATGTTCGAAAAAGCTTGCGTATGAAAGGGCATATCTAAGCCACACGTCTACATGAGTATTAAATCTTCGGTGTAAGATAGATATTATATCTAGTGTTTTCTTTTTTTTTGGTTCCGCACTCCTGGCAACTGGCTGCAAAAGCAATTGAAGTGCGCCAACCAACCCCCACGCCGACCTCGCCACCCGTCCAGGCGTGGCCAACATCCTCTTATTGAACTTTTGTGCATTGAAGTGTGGCTCTTTGTGCATCTCTGCAGACTGCCCCCAATACGATCCGATCCGACTGACAGTTTGTTTTGCTTTTGGGGTTTTTTGCAGAGTATTTATAAACATTCATATACATATACACACATGTATACTATATATACTCTGTATTTGTTGATTTATTATTTTGACAAAGCCAAGCAATTTGCTAAATGGTAAAAAGGGACGTACTACGTATGTGTACACAGACTGAAGACTTAGCAAACAATTGTGCGCTGCGAGTGGGGCAGCAACGACTGTTGCCACATGCACTGATGAAAGAGGAAATGAACACTTCTCGGGCGTATGAAAAGTCTTTGATTGAGTATCCCTTGCTTTGAGTGAAAAGCTTTACAATAAATTAAAATCAATTAAATTGGAAATTAATACTGATGATTATAAGGTTAATTTAACTAATTTATTGTAAAGCTTTTCACATTAAATTATTTGATTTTGTACCAGATCGAAATGAGTTCAGATTTAAATGAAGTACAAGTATTTAAACAGATTCTAGGGTTGTTTAGACTTGTAGAGAATACAGTTCAGTCACAGTTCATAGCAGACTACTTTCTTAATTTTCCTAAGGAATAACATATTTAATATTGAAATACATTTAATAATTGTTTGAAGTTTTACTAATCTAACTGTGGAAATTTATTTCTTTTTTAAGATTTTTGGAGGCGTCAACATTTTATTATAAATACTTGTGGCATTACATATTTCTATGAAATTTGTTATTTAAATCTTTTTCTGGACTAAATATTAGTAGAATATATAGTTAATTTGTCGTCCAATTATGTCAAACAGTTTCTAATATATATTTATGAACATTGTAGGAAAAATAATGTAGATTTGAAAGCTGAAACATTTTTTAACTGTGTACCAATTTTCATTGGAAATTATATTTTTGATCGGGGTTTGGTGATAATTTAATCCAGAAATAACGTTCGATTAATTAAAAAAAATATATATATAATTTATGATATAAAACGCGGAAAAACTCAATTTATATATTTGATTTATAATTAGTTATCAGTATTCAAATTATTATAATGTGTCACATTTAAACTTTAATCAAAAAAAAGTCTCTTTAATTCTAATGTAAATTCCAAATTAATAGTAAATATTTTACTTGACCATGCTCATTACTTCGAGAACAGGAAACCGAATAAAGAGGATTCAAAGAAAAAATTTTTTGTTTAATAATGTTAGAATGAAAATATGACAACTCGTGTCCGATTCTGATACAAATAATAATACGTGGTGAAAAATGTTACTTGATTATTAGCCCGCATCTAAAAAAAGCTTCTTGTTTTGTGGCTAGCTTTGTTGGGAACATATTTGACTACATTTTCAAGCAATAGTCGCTTTGGTGGCGGTGGCAGATAGGTCTTCACAGACAAGTTGCCGCAAAGCTAGCCATAAATGCGAAAGTTCAAAGAGTTGTTGCCAAGATGCAACCGCAAAATTCAACTGCAGATGTTTTGGTTCAGGTTTGTAACGGAAAGCGGCATTATGAAAAACTTGGAGCTGGTTTTTGATTTACAACCTGCAGTCAACTAACTCGGAAACGCTTTTCAATCCCTGCAGGCTCAATTCCTGGACGAACTTCTGCAGCTGCTGGGCGACGATGATGCGCGTGTAAGGGAGCATGCCGCCCACTGTCTTTGCCGTTTTATAATGCAAACAGCGCGCCAAGCGGAGCCACCGAGCACAGCAGCAGCAACAACTACATCAACAACAGCAGCAACTAGAGTTGAGGAGGGCAACATGAATGCTGAAACTCAACAAACTAATTTCAATTTGCTTTGGGATTTTTTCGACTATCGCATATTTGGCAGCATGTCCGTGACGTTGCGTAATTTATTCCGGGCTAGCTCAACGATTGCCCCGCCAATGGCAGCCCTGGATGCTGTGGAGCACGGTCACGGGCCGTATGCTGCCACCGCAGAAGCTGTTATTGGAGTTGGTGGCACCACAATTGCGATGGGTGGTGTTGTAGGTGCAGCCGCTGCGGCGTCGGCCTACTTTGATGGCAGTTACGGTGTCGGCATCGCTGACGGCCATGTTTTTGCCATTGGATTTCTACGTCAAATTGCGCAAGAGGAAAAAGTTTTGGCCAAAGTTTTGTATCGCATGACAAATAAATTGATGACGCTCAATGATAAAAATTTGCAGGTAAATATTTGTCTGGCTATCGCTTGAGAAATTGCATCAAATAGAAACGTAACCTTATTTTTGTTCTCCATCCATTCGACAGTTTGGCATAATTAACGCGCTGCGGTTGCTACTAAAGCACTTCAATTTTGTTGACTATCAACAGGCCTGGACGGAATTCAATTTTATTGAGATTTGCATGAGCTACGCCTATTACAACAGTGCAACAGCTGGCGACTTGAATTGTCAGAACGATTTGATTGATGTGATGGCCAAATTAATAGCAGGTAAGTGCCACCCCCGTACCTATGCTGAGCAACCCTTAGACCAGAGTTTGGTCTGCTCTCAATTTGAAAACTAATTTTCCATCCATAAACCCACACATATATACCATTATAAATGCAATTATCAACTGCAAAATCTATCTATAGATACAGAGATACATACGTATCTCAAGCCTTGCACATTGATTTTCATTCATACACGTTTGCTCAAATGAGATCCCAGTTTGTGTGGACTTCGTAACTTTAATGTTACTTTGAATTGATAAAACGTTTAATAAAATAAAAAAAAATATATATATAATTTCAAATTTGTTTTTAATTGTATTGCATTGTACTAAATGCCATAGAAATAGCAATATAAATCATTTTAATTAATTGTTTGTCATTAAATAAATTTACATAAATATATTTGTGCTGCCTCTGGCGCTTGGATGTGCCACATTCCAATAATTTTATTTACATTTTTTTCTGCCGTTTTGCTTTGTTTTAATTGTAATTTTAATGAAGCAAAAGCACAAATTAGCATAAATATTTTTAATTTTCTATCAGCATAATAATTCAATTTGAGACCAACTTTTTTGTACAAGCTAAAGTAATTAAAAAATCGAGTTGTTCTGCTACTGCAAAATATGTGGGACTATCAAATACTCTACACTACAAACGCTTAAATATGTTTTAGATAAACGGTTCAACTAGTTAAACTAATTAGCCTGGGAAAGACAAAATTCTCGATCTACCTTCAATAAAAATATATTTTACTTTATTGTCTGCCCCCGTTCTCAGCTAACTCGCCTTTGGTTTTATAAAATATGCTAGTATAAATCATTTTCGATTACACATTTGCATAAGTATATGGCTTATTATAAACGCCTATTTGTTCAATTAATAATGGGTTTTGTGTATTTATTTCAAATTGATATTCAATGCAACTAACTAACTGCATACTCATTGCCAAATCGAGCATTCAGCGCGGCAATTGTTAAACATTTAAGTATTTGATATCAACTTGGTTGCGTGTAATTAAATAATTTTTAACAGTTCCATTAGCAAAACGCGCCCTCCCAGAAGAGGCAACAACAATAATGGGCAAAAAAACAAAAAACAACAACAATGACAACCGATGCGAATCGCGCGCTAATAAACATTTTAATTCAATTTACCAAATTGCATAAACCAAAAAACCAAACTTCAACTTAATTTCATTATTGGCATTTACACGACGCCCAACCACGCCTATTATCAAACTGTTGTCGCTGTCAGCAACAGAGTTAGAGTTTAATTTTTACTATTTTTTTTTTTTTACGTATTTATTTATTTATTTTTTGCTTGATTGCCAGCCGCGTATTTGCAATGCGCTAATGCGATCTACCATAATCAAAAAGTAATTAAATTACTAATAAACCATTAAATGTAAAATAGTTTTCGTGCCACTCGCATCATCTGCCACGCCCCTCCTTCCCCTGCCAGTATGCCTCTTTACCGCAGCCATTGCAATTTGCATTTGTGCATTTTTGCATAAGCAAATAATTTAATTTTGAAGCCGTGAGCGCTTTCGCACCTCTTACTATGGCCCAACCCTGTAACATATAAATATTTATACATGCATGTATGCACGTATGCATGTATGTGTGTGTGTGTGTGTGTGTGTGTATGTATGGATGTGTGCGTGCGTGTTCATGCATCCGAGCATCGATTTCAAAACAAAATCGCCAAATGTTTTACGGCTTTTTGGCGAGTGTTTTGCGATAAGTTTTGACAGTATGCAAATCATATTGTTGGCATGTGAGAACCACAAAAAACATGCACGAATGCTTTAGGCGGAAGTGTCCGACCATGAAATGCTCTAAACTCATATCTTTAATAAACTTTTTGTGCTATAAATACATAACATATATAGAATTTCCAAAACAACAAGTTTCAAGTTGTTCGTAAGCAATTTATAACTTATTATAACTATTTAGTTTGTACTCTCAATTAAGAAAATATGCATATTTGTAATGTAAACTTGATCTACACACGTATTGCTTTGCTCATAAGGCGAGATAGTAAGAGTATATGCTATATAAGGTTCTGTTGATATCATAATACAATATCAACTACAACATTTTAATATTCTGTGCTTTAAGCCACCTGCTGGCTGTTGTGCATACTGTTAATTTAGTATTTACATACATTTAATGAACACAATTTAATTTTGACAACTTAAAGAGCCGCATGCCCCTATCCAGGCCCATTCGTCAATCCCCCCTTTTCACTTCACACACTCATTTTATTTAAACGCAAATTGTAATGCCCCGCATTATGAGTGAAATTAATATGCAGTCGTTTTCAATACGCCACGAGCTCATTTGCGGAACGTTCAATTAAAAAGAGAATATTCCGGATTGGCTGTTTATAAATGCCTGACTGATGGCCCAAGTGTATATCAAATTGACAACAACTGACTGCCGTGTCATGTCTCCGTTGAGCTGTGGACTGCCGCGGCCTCGTGGCATTAATAAAAATAATATTACGCATACGCACAGTGCGACGGTGGTGCATAATAGCCATATATTTATTTATTGTTAATACTCACTCTCCCTCTCTCGCTCTCTTTCTGTGCAGCTATTGCAAAATATGTTTAAAGACTATTTGGCTTTCAATATTATTACTTTAATTTTCTGTACTGTGGCTCGCCAATTCTTATGTTACAGCAGCCTTTGTGTTGCATGCCGCATAGCCCTTGCTACGTGGCTCCCGAGCAGTTGGGCCATAATCGAACTGTGGCGCGCCGTTGCCATGAATATGCGCCCACATAAATAAATATAAATTAGTAACGGAACTGTGGCATCGTCTCATTATGTGAAATTTTCAATTAATTAGTTAATGTAATGCAAACTCCAGCCTGTGCTATCCCGCCCTCCACCTTGTATCACTGCAGCTCCTGGCCTGGCACCGCATTGTCGCTTGGCTGGCAGCTCTGGGAGGGAGGTTGTTGTTTAAATGGCTCCCCAAACACTTAATTTTTATAAATATTTATGCGAATACAATTTAATTTATTTGTGCAACAACAAAAAAGTCATAATAATAATAATTTTTTGTATGCTCGCATTTTCTTTGCGCACACAAATACAAATTTATTTAGTATTTGCTGGCGTTGCATTGTTGACATATAAATTGAAATGTTGTATGCTTACACACACACACACATACACTCGCGCATGCACGCACGTTTAATGAATTCATATAAATCATTGCGCACTTTGAAGCGTTTTCCGCTTGTTACCTATGCAATTTTTGCTTTAATTTCACATTATTTGTTTGCTTTCGATATTTATATAGTCATGTGGGATATCTCCTCTATTTTTTTTCCTCATCGCGTATAGTTAATTTTACCCCAATGCAAATCCATTAAATGGATTTTTAATTTTCCGAGCTGCAATTACTCGGCATTTGTATAATTTTAAGCATCAGTTGGCATTTTAACACAATTAGCTGGTGCTGCGTACATTGCTTAATTTGTCATTAATATGCTGCAAATACTTACCGCACACCGTACTCTGCTCTCCCGCTCTCCCATCTAGGTGGCATGTTAAGCACGGGCGAGGCACCGCCCACAGCCCAGCTGGACTTTCTGCTGCGTCACTGCGTCAAGCTGCTCAACATTTACTATCATCTGGTGGGCAATCAGCGTCCAGTGCAGCCGAGCGGCAGCAGCAGCAGCACCAGCAGCAGCGTTGGCAGCAACAACACCAAGCCTTCCAAGACCGTCAAGAGCGAGCTCTTCACGCTGAGCGGCAGTGGCAGGGAGACGCTGGCGGCGATGCAGGCGATGGGTTACTTTGCCAGCGATTACGTTTACATGAAACTTTACAACATTTTAAGAGGTGCTAATGACAGCTACAAGGTAAGTCAAAGCCGCAGGTGAAGACAGCAATGGACTGTATGGATGGGGAGGGCGTGGCGCCATTAAGTCGCGGCTGGTGCGCTGAAATGGCAAAAGTTCTTGGGGCACGTGCACCGAGATTTGCCAATTCTTCTTACAGTTTGCAGTCGCGGCTCCAATTGCACATTGCACGTACAACGCAATGCGCCGTTTTATATGCAACACTTTCGGGCAATGCTGCCTTGCAATGAGTTGTAAAAAAAATGCAACCAGCGACGAAATGCTGGCAACGTACTCGACTCTTGACTTCAACTTTGGGACTTGACTTGCCACACAGCTAAACTTGCCTCAACTTGGGGCGTGGCCAATAAAAGCCAACGCTTTTAGCTTGGCTTTTAGCCGCTCATTCGGTAACCCACTCTTGTCTCTGCTTGCAGATAACCATAAATCACGAAGCTGGCGGCTTATTAATTTGCCTGCTGAAGACCTGCCTCAACGCGCTGAGCCTGTGCCTGGAGGCATCGACGCCTCCGCCATCGCCATCGCCGCCGGCGCCTGCGACCGCAACGCTTGCAACTGCAAACGCGTCAGCTCTGAAATTAATTGAAGAAATACTACAGTATTTGACCAAGCTAATAAATTATGCGCCCGGCGAGTGCGTTGCATGTCTGCGGCAACTGCTGAAATATTTATTTGGCCAAAATTATGCAAGCCAAGTGCAGAGGCAGCCCCATGGATACCATGCCACATTTGTGCGTCCCTACTTTGTGGCCAAGCGCTCTGCCAGTGCCAGTGCCAGTGTCTGTGGCGTCTCTACATTGTTGCTAGCAGCTTCTATAGGCTCGACAACAACAGCAGCACCAACAACCACAGCAGCAGAAGCGACTGCAACAACCCAACAACTAATTGCAACGCAGCCTGCTCTGGGCGCGCTTTTTGTGCGAGGCATGCAGCCGGACGCACCGCCGGCGGGTGACTGCGTCCGGCTTATAAAGCTGTTCGAGCCGCTGGTCATCTACTGTTTGACGGTGAGTTGCTAATTAATTTTAGTAGTTGCCAATTTGTTTGATTAAAAATGCGCAGACACAAAAGCCACCTGCCACAGGTGCGGACGCATGCACACCCTCCAGTGTTCATGTTGTACGCATTCATATTTTATTTATGGCAAACATTTGCGTAGCACTCGTATTCATGCATTTTCAACCAATCCCACCCACACCACGCCCCCAACTCGACAGCTCTACATGAAGTGCAATGCGTTGATACAGGCGCCCATATTGAAGCTACTATCGCAGCTGCTGGACCTGAATGTTACCTACAGCATACTGGACTCAAAGAGCGTTATTTTTGAGCAAATACTAAACAATTTAGACCTAATTGAAAGTGGCATCGACAGGTGAGTGCACTTTAGTGCCTGCATAGTAGGATATACAATTAATGCGTTGCCGTTGCATAAAGCGAGCTCTAATCAAATTATAAATGCAAAGTATACGGCCTGTTTTTAAGAGTGTTATTCGTATATCTGCTAATAATCTATGATAAATGTAATTTAAGTTTGTGTTAGCCGGTTATTTAGAAAAAATTGAAATATTTTGTGGTTACGTACAGAGAACTAGAATATTTTCTATTTTTAAATTATGTTTGTATAATGCGATCTACTGAATCAAGCAAAATTAATATTTTATGCGGTTAATTGGTTTACACTTTTTCAGTTAAACTGTGACTTAATAATTTATATAAAATTTTTTTTATAAATTTAAATGAATTGCCCTTAAGCGTGCTACGTTTTCCGTTTTCCCTTCTAAGTTGTTTTTCCCAATGGAGCTTACTACTGGGAATCAATTGAAAATGAATATAAAAAAAGATTTTGAGTAAATGTGTGTATAAACATGTCTATCTCAGAGATTATAAGACCAAGAGAAAGTCAATTAAGTATGAAAGTATACAAAAATTTAGAATATATTACTTTTCAGATATATTAGACAATATTATTTCTTGGCTGTCCAAGAACCAGATTGATAGGGTTTAAGCCAATATGTTCCTTCGAAGTCTCAATCATTCCCATTGCTGATTGCGTTGTGTTTATTTTTCACAGAAATGCGCCCATAATAGTGCCAGTTATGCTTAAATTTCTCATGCAGCTGACACACAAGAGCGATCGCCAGCTCATAACCATACCGAAGATCATAAGCATAACTAACAATTTGTTGGCCAATGGCGCTGTGCGAGATGTGGCGCTGCTGGCGCTGAAAACGCTCAGCTACGAGCTGTTCTTTATGCACAGTCCGCTTGACGCGGCGCTGGACGAGGATGCGTCGGCCCAACAGCAGCGGCGTGGCAGCTGTCAGAGTCCGCTGACTGCTGTGCCGACGCAGGACACAAAGGAGGCGTTGCTGGCGCAACGGCGCGAACTGGACACACAAAAGGAAGTTGTGCTGGGCATGCTGGAGAAGTTCATTGATGCTCGGGCCGTGCAACAATTGTTGGCACTACTGCTGCTGTACGAGCGCAGCTTGCAACATTTGGATGCGCCCAAATATCTAAGCGCACAGGATGCGAATGTACTTTATGGAATGGTATGTCGCTCGCTTGCCACCGGACAGCTGCGACTGCACACATTTGGTGATCTGCGGGTGCTGGAAAGCTGCTTTCGCAACAATGGCAACTATGTCCTGGCCGACAGCAAGGAATTTCTGCACTTGCTGCAGCTCTTCATTGAACAGGTGAGCCTAAAGCCTCAGAATTCACATGCGGTAAGTAAATAAATTTCAAATGAATGAAGCGCATTCACAGACAGCAGCAGCTACATTGAATATTTCATGGCTCTTTATAACTTTGCGGTTATATTTGCTGCTGCTCATAAATATGCGTCTGCCTAATGCCTGCTTAAGTATATGCAACTTACGTATGCAGCGTCAAATCTACTGAAATATTGATTAACACGACCATTGAGTATTGACAAAATTGTGTTGCCCCGCTGTTGCAAGCAATATATTGACACTTTCCATGACACTCAATTGAGCTTGTGCTCGAAATCCATTAAATGCCATAAATGAAATAATGACATTTATCAACAGTGCCACACACACACACACACACATACAGACTGCTAATGCTGCGAATTGAGTGCTATCATCTTTCATTCGATTCAGTTGAAACGACAATAACAAAACATGGCATTTAATTTTCGCTTATTGGTATTAAATTTCCGTTTATTGTCGCATTGCCGAGTTAAAAGACAGTTCAGCATGTCTTTTGTTCCCGTCTATTAATTTTGCCTACAGCTGCCAATTGTTACCACAGTTATCCATTACTCAACCAGAAATTTTGGGTAGAATAGATAGCATATGAATTGAATAATTGACGTACAAATTAAATGAAGTGTCTCATAATTTTAACAATTATCAGTGAGTTTATTATTATTATTTTAAGTGTAGGATATTGCCTTCGACTATATTCATAAATAAGCCTCGTATTCGAACAAGGAGCTTGGCATTCCCTTGCCTCTATGACTCAGTCATCTACCGAAAAAATTGTAAAAATTAAAATTATCATAAGCAATGTAGTAGTTGCATTATGATCCTAACATAGTAATAACATATTGGGTCTAAAATAGAGTATTCTATAGTCGCGCAGCAATTACATGCCACATGAATTTCACGTACAGTTCATGTAACTTAATCTGTGCAAAGTAATGATTCCTTTGAATCCGATAAATGCGACTATTGTAGACACTAATAAGAAGTAATGACGAAGCTTGAATACCCTTGCAGACATATTATATACGTGAGTTTTTTTTAAAGCCTAGAAATATTTCAATCTAGAACTCAATTTCCAACCGATTGTTCAAAGAGGAGCTATATACTATGAAAGCCCGATGTTGATTACACTATTCTAATGTGTTGTGAGTACTGTGAAGCTCGCAAATTAAAGGCTTTATTCAGATATGATGAGTACAAAACTTAATTTAAGACATATTGATTCCATATCGATTGACTGTATGCTGTCGAACACACTGCCTCTATGTGTTCCATATATTGTGAACAAATTGTAAGACTAACTGCAAGCGTTTCGTATATCACAGGAATATCGAATGGATCTGTTATAGAAACTAGATTATTATCATTATTTTTAGGCATTCACTTTGAAGATTTCCCTTAAAAACAAGCTGTGGCAAAAGTATTAACTTCCTTTTATTTTAAATTTAAATGGAAGTGGTTTCTATTCTGTGTATTTATTTCACTTGTTTGCCACACGGCGTTGCACGTAAAGTAGGCACGGCAAATGGTTCATTTAACACTCGTGCATCAGTTGGCCTTGTGGGGCCTGCGGCTGGGCCTGAAGGGGGGGCGTGTTGGCTTGTGGGTTCATCAGCGATTTGTCATTTACCCCCTACCCCTTTCACCTGTCCGACAACGCGCCTGCTTATTTGCATTTACATGCACACGAATGCATTCTGCAGCTCTTGCGGCGCATATGTATATTTGTATATACGTGTGTGTTTTTTATTTTTTGCCCCTTGCAGTTGTTGTTGCATGTGGCGCCGTAGTTAATGTGGCACATGTCGTATACGTGACATTTTTAATACCTACGCTTCAACGCCGCACATTTTCAACTATTAATGCGCATTTAAGCTACACATGCATTAACTGTCGCTCTGCCGAGCTGTCAGGCCAGTCAAACCCCTCGCCACTGGCAGAGTTTCAGTCGAAGCAACGGCCAGACTGTTATGCTGCTCGCAAACCAACTTAATTACACACCTAGTGAATGTGTGTGTGTGCGTGTTTGTGGACACTCACTTGCATATGAAGCGAGCTGCTTGTCCGGCCAGTGTCTCGGCTCATATCCTGTTGATGCATCGGCATGCATCACGTGTCTAACGTTCAGAACTAAATCGTTTACTTTAACGGCGGCTTCTCAGCCCATGCACTTATAAATATTCTACGTTTCTCCATGTTGGCACTGGCTACATTTAGCTTAATTAAAATTGAAATTAAACAGCATGGCTTAAAAACTTGAACCAATTATAGTTTATTTAATTTGACAAGCATGTAAACCAAAAAAAAAAGTGAAAAAAGAATGAGTAAAAGCGCATGAGTTGGAAATGAACGACTAGCAACTGCCCTGTACGCAATTCAGTATTCTTTAATTCTTTACGCACATGCACACACAAAAAATTATGCGTGTACCAAAATGCCAGATTTTAAATATTTGTGTACGGATTTGATATCATTTTGAAGAAAACGTTAAAAGAAAATAGCCTTGATCTGCATATGTCACAGTTATATCAACAAGCTGGGGTCATGCGCTTTAATAGTTTAATACTTAGTATCAGAAATCTAGCCGTTCGTATAGTCGAGATGTGTGTGTAGATGTGTTTAAGCTATAAATTTAGGAGTAAAATATTACTTTTATTGTTTCTCAGTCTTTTGCGATTAGTTTTTTGCCTTGTCTTAGCCTTTTAATTATGATTGCTAACACCGAACAGGTTTTTTCATTCAAACAATTTGTACTTATGTATCAGCCAGGATTCAGGAAATTGCATGGCATTAACAGGCAACGGACCGCTTCGCATGTCGATTTGGTGAAGTGCTAATTTCCGATGCTTCTTGGCCATTAAGGGCTTACTTTGTGGACGTTAATTATCCCCTGAGCTTGATTGCAACTCAATTAACGCGTGCAATTGGCGGTTGCATTGACTAAAGTCATGTCGGCGATGAGTAAAAAAAATAGCCGTGCATAGTGGAATACTTAAAAAACGCCATGTCTTTGTATGCGATTATAGTATATTATTAACGCTATTTGCCTATCACATACACTTTTTTATGAATACAGGGTATTAATATCTAGCCGCCCACGCACTTTTTGCCAGCCAGGTGGGCATGAGTAATTAAGTCGGGCAATGAGCGCACAAGTCAATCCACGAATGGCTGAGCAACAGCCTTATGTGTATGTATGTGTGTGTTGGAAAAACTATACCATCAACATTTTAATTGAAATTGAAAATGCACCGCAACTTAAATAACATTTTGCGTGTAAACATTAAAAATGCAGGCATGAGGCGTTTTAGCAAAAAAAAAAAAAAAAAAAAAAAAAAAAAATAAGAACGCTTATTTGGAAATTATACGCTAGCAGGCAGCGTGTGGAAAATTAAATTGCATTGCATGCATACTACCAGTGTGCGTCTGTGTGAGTGTGTGCTGGGAGTATCCTTTCTAATTACTGCCGGAAAATATGTTGATGTTGTCGCTGGCAACTTTGTTACTGCAATTTATGCAAAGTTTCACACTTTGTCGCACTGGCGACCAAACTGTAGGAGTCATCCTCAAAACTAACATTTATCCCAACACTCTCTGTCTTCCTTTTCTACACCCTATCGCCTGCAGGACGTTGGCAACTTTGGTGATTTAGCACTGGCAGTGATTATGCTGGCAAATGTAATCCTGAAAACCGAAGAAATTTATCTGGTGAATCACATAAAACTTTATCTGAAAAATAATCCAACGGCCGAGCGACGGCTGCAGGCCGCAGCAGCAGCAGCAACCGCAGCCGCAGTCACATCAACAACAGCATCGGGCCCAGAAGCAACCACACTCCACTGGCAGGATGAAGCACCTTCGACATCTTCGGCAGCTGCTGCTGCTAGAGCCACCGCTGCAGCTGCCACCGCCTCCAACCGGAGTGCCGCGCGACCCACCATCAGTGAAATTAACTACTTTGCTAAAGTTTTGAGCGAAAAGCTGCTCGGCTGCCTGGATGCGCTGCTAGCTCAGGGCTCTGGCTCAACCCTGGCCGGCCATGCCTACTGCCAACTGGCCGGGCGGTTCGTTAACGCGCTGCACAATGTTTGCTGTCGCTCACGGCATAAGGATGCATTGCAATCAGTTTTTCGCTTGGTTCTGGCCGAATCTGAATTTCTCTGTAAATACTACAATTTACTCCTGATGAGCGCCGAGGGCGGCGATGCCCTGGAGCCCGTTTTGCTGGCCTGCCTCCAGCTGATGTTGTCCATGCGCCTGCTGGAGCCGATGGTGCTGCTGGGGCAGGCAGCGGAGCTGCCGTTAAAATGGAGCCTGCAGCGTGCAATGCTCTATGAAGTTTGCCAGGAAAGTGCGGTAAGTGGTGGGCGGCGGGGCTGTAGGTCGGCACAGCTGGTCGCACATTAGTTTAATTTGAATTTGGCAGCTGATTTGGCCACTGGCTGTGCTGCCGACACCAAACAGTGAGAGTCTGGCCAGCTGACAGTTGTCGTGCTCGTAATTTTGCGGTTCGCCGCGTCGGGTTTGGTTTTTGGTTTCCGGTTTACGGTTAACGGATTTCGGTTGAAACTACGCGCTATTCACACGCCGCGATAATTTAAACTGTTGCCCAATGGCCTGGCTTAAAGATACGCTCAGTATTCAGTACTGCGCATAATTTTAATTGATTGCCACTCGAACATGCGCCAGTTGTCGGCTAATGGCTGCGCTCAGGCCCGCGGAGGGAAATTGTTTGGGCGGGCTATACGCAAATCACAACCAACTAATTGCAGACAATGGATTGGAGTCCGCAACAAGTGCGCCGCCTGTGCGCCGGCAAGTATCTGAATTTCCTAATTGCTGACCACTTGGAATTCCTTAGCGAGCTCTGCCAAGTGCGTCCCGAGTGCGGCTCATTACTGCTGGCGGCGCTGCTACGCCATTCGCACAACTTGAACAAAGTAAGTTGAAATTCAGTATTTTTGCATTATAATGCGGCGCCTGTTGCCTTTGTTTGCGGCATCCTTTCTTTTCATTTTTAATTTGCCTGCAGCACTCGATACGCAGCATCTTGCGTCTGCTGTGCTGCATTTGCGTGCCGCAGCAGCAGGACAATACGGCGCTCACATTGCAGGCGCTACAGCTGCTCAGTCGGCTCCATCAGCTGCACGACGGCCAGCGGGCACTGCAGCTGCCCATGGAGCGCCTGGCACGAAGACTGGCCACCCAGAGTAGTCCGGCCACCAGGAGCAGCATCTATGAGCGACTCCTGCAAGGCGAACTGGCCGGAGACGAGGACCAGGACGAGCTGCGTACCATGCTGTGAGTAATGGGCCAAATTACGCACTGAGTGCTGTGACTCTTGACAACTATTTAAATCAATTTCGCACTACACTCAAAGAAAAAAGTAGCCTGCCTTCTATCGATTGGCTGCCTGCAATTTGGCCAATAGCCGATGCAATAGAATTTTCCAATTTTCCAATCCTAGTTAAAAGGACACTTGCACAGCAAATCGATTTAGGGGAAACCCACCCCACAAATGGGATAAATGTAAAATTGCCAAGCAAATTATTTTTGGGGTTATCTCCCTCTCACGCAAAAGCAATTGGCACGAAAATTAAACAAAATTTGATTTAAATTTCAAAATATTTTCCGCAAGTGTATTTGCAGCCCGTTGTGTTTTGCTGAATGCCTCATGTTCATGTTTTATATTTTCATTTCATGGCAGTCTGAAGGACTTGGAGTGCCCGCAGGACAATAGCGCAGCTGCACCGCCGCGCATAATTGATGAGAGCTGGCTCTTTGGCCAGGTAAGTGGTTCCGCTAATTTATCAGCCCCTTCGCGTCCCGCCTGCTGTTACCTGCTCAACCATTTGCCGTTTTCTTTGTGCCTTCACAGCTAATCAAATTTGCCACACAGCACGCGGAGGCGCCACAACAGCAACAGCAGCTGATGCGACTGCTGCTCGAGATTCAATCGGAGGCCAAGCTGCAGCGTTTGCTGCGCAGCCTAGGCCCTGTGCAGGAGGCTCGTCTACTGCGACATGCACTCGATGGCGCCTTGTCGTCCATGGTAGCCGCCTTCAGGCAGAAGTGCATCCAACATGCGCCACATATTAACTATATGCAGCTGCCACCGCTGGCGCGTGTTGCCTGTGCTTCGCTCATGACGCGGCTGGCCCAGACGCAGCACCTGGCAATGGACAGCGCGGAGCAATTGGATGTGGCTCGGGCATTGAGCACGCTGCTGGTGTCTATACGGAGCCTGGAGCAAGCGGCGCTCATTTACATCGATGCCAAGCACATCGAGAAGTTTGTGGTCGAACATTTGCTGCGCCCGGAGCAGTTGCCCGCACTGCTCGCATATGCGCGCCGCTTGGCCGTCGCCGCCGTGCAACTCCTAGAAGCTGGCAGAGATCCAAATGATGGACTGGGCGCACTGCTGGGCTGCTTGGATGAGCTGCTGCAGCAGCCACGCATCTGGTGGGCACTCAATGCCAGCAGTGATGAATTGCGTGTGGAGCTGCTGCAAGTGCCGGTGTATGCCGCTTGCCACATGCTGCAGGACACGGTTTTCTATCAGCGACATCGCCTGCAGAGTGCCCAGCCGCCAGCGCAAGCAATTTTCCTAGCCAAATTGATTGAAACGCAAATTGATATCGGTTGCTTGCTGCCGGCCAACGAATTGGTTTACCTCCCGTTTGCCGGCCATGAGTTGGCGCCGCTTCAAGTGCCGCTGGTAGGTGACATTGCACATTTAACATGCCGACTTGCTGGCTGCAGCAGCCTTAAATCATTTGCCACATTTTACAGTCCCTTATCGCATCCATTGGCACCTCTCTGCTTCGCTTACATCAGTTATATGCCTACGCAGTGACGCCCTATGAGCTCGTCCTACAGCAGCAGCAGCAGCAGCTGCCACCGTCTACGACTGCCAGCAGCGATGGCAAACTGCCCCCCATACCTGTGGATAGCCTCAGTGATGTGGATGTGCTGCGTCAGTTTGTGAAGCGGTAAGTGTAGCTGGGTACTTCTGCTGCTAATTAAGTTAACTTATAGTGCTGCTGCCTGTTGCTGATTGCTGGTTGCTTGGGCCACTTAAGTTATGATATGCTTGAAGACTTTCAGCTGCTGTCCCAATGGCTGACCATGGCTGAGCAGCTATCTGGCTTTGCCACACAGCAGCAAACATTACAATTATTGTATTTACAACAACGACAATTGTTGCTGACAATGCTCTGACAGAGCTCTGACGCGAGCTTGGCAGCAACATGCAGCGTTGACGACAATCTGAGATGTGGATAAGGACAACAGTGGCTAAACCGCAACCGGAAACATCAGCATCCTGTATTAGATGCAGTTTGCATGTGTGTTCGCATGTATTGGTGTGTGTGTGTGTGTGTGTGTCTGTGTGTGTGTGTGTGTCTGTGTGTGTGTGTGTGTGTGTTTGTGTGTGTGTGTGTGTGTGTGTGTTTGCGTCTGTAAGTTGTCATTGTCATCACAGTGCTTATGTCCGTTGTCCGCGTCCGTCTTTATGTCCTGGACTGCGCGTTGCTTGTTTGCCTCGTCCTTGTCGACTGACAGCTTCCACATCGCTGCTGCTGCTGTCGTTGCTGCTGCTTCTGTTCATGTCATTGTTTCCATGCCAGTCGTCATCATTACGCTGTCAGCGCTTGAATTGTCATCAGCCAGGAATTTTGGGCATATTACTCTGTGTGTGCGTGCGCCTGACCAGCCTAAAAGTTGCAAACATTCTAACTTTGCCCTTAAAGCGCCATACGCGCAATCCATTTTTCGCAAAAGCGCAAACATCAAAACCACATCAGCGGCATCAGCAACAGCCCCACCCAGCCTCGCACCACACACACACACACCAGACACAGCACAACAGAAGCCGCACAACAAGCGCCCAGCTCGCGGCAACGACAAAATCCCCCAAAGGGCTGACAGAGCGGAACATCAACAGCTCTATTAGATGAAGCTGTGACGACGATGACGATGACGACGACGACGAGGTGGGTGAAGCTGTGACAGCCAGAGGCTAAGCAGGGCAGGGCAGGGCAGGGCTAGCATACGCGTATAGACAAGCACTTTGGACTCGAAGGCGAACGCTGCGGGCTGGGATTTCAGTTAATAAAAGCGTGGGGGGGGGAGTGTTGGGGCAAACTGAAAGATATAAAAGCAGCAGCAGCAACAGCAGCGCAACGGAGGCAGTCAGCGATATAAACAAATTATGAGCGGCAAAGTGAGATAAATGCATGTGTGCGTGTCAGTGAAACAGAGAACGACCAAGACGGAGAGAGAGAGAGAGAGAGAGAGAGAGAGAGAGAGAGAGAGAGAGAGGGAGAGAGAGAGCATGAAGGAGGCGAGCATTTACTGCGCGAAAGGGCGCCTCATGCGAGGATTCAGTTCGCTGCTGTCTCACATAGTTGCTAATTGCCCACAAACCGCTGAACCCAGCCGTCAGCAGAAGCAGCAGCAACAACAACCAAAGCAGCAACGAATAACAATTTTATCCAAGTTTTGTCAAACAGCAAATGGGCGCAATACTGGGAGTGGCACTGGCATCGATACATATTTGAGAAATAACCAAGAAAGTTGGTCGCTTGGGGCGTAACAAAGCTAATCAATGGCTAATTGAGATTTGAGGGCTTCTAAATATTTGAAGAGCTCAACTAATTGAATTAAATTTGCAAGCTTTAACTAGCAGCATACCAATTTCAATTTGCGTGTGTGTGTATGTTTATTAGAAATATTTTTGCAATTTATTTATTATGCAACACGCAGAGCAACTAACGCATATTCTAACAACATATATTCGCCACAGGCTCTCCATATTTGGTTATACCACACGCCAGCAGTTCGAGGAATATTTTATGACCTTTCTGCTGCTGATCAACAAGGAGTACGATGAGCATATGGTCGATCAGCAGGAACAGTTCCAGATTAAACAGGTCTGCCTGCTGGCCATCATGGAGCTGCTAACAACATATAAAACTTTTCCCATTGCCGGCCATGGCAACAGCCAGTTCTATCATACCACACGCTGGCAGCGCATCAATTGTGACAGCATTAGGTGAGTGTGAATAAATGTGTGTGCGTGTGTTTTCCGACAAACTGTGAGAAATTTGTTGGAAAAACTGCAAATGATGAAAACTCAAATTAATACTCGGCAAGTGGGCACCAAAGTTTTAAATGCGTATATAACAAGAAAAAAAAACATAAATTAGAAGCGACCATCAAAAGTGGTTGTTGCCCAAAACACTTGTGTTGTGTTGCGCTACGTGCCGCTGCCAGGACCAAAAACCCGGCCCAACATTCCCATTACATATGCCCTGTCCCCTGACGCATATTATTTTTTAGCAATTACCAAAACTCGGCAACTTTAGAAGCTCAACTAATTTGTTAACATGCAATCCCTAAAACAATTTGGCCAACAAATTCGAGTTTTTTATTTTGTATGGTTGCTTTTGCTGATGGAAAGGCTATTGTAAAAGCTAAAACTTAAATCTCTGTATATGTTTTTCATGTATATTTTTAATGGGTTTTTTGAGTTTGCACAATAGTTGTTAACTATGATATAACAATACAATACATATATATATTATTTTTTAACTTTATAAAAACGTTGACATCCTTTAAGGCTGACTTAAAAAAAAAATAGTCTGTTTTCGTGCACACATTATAAAAAACCCTGCTGTGACTTTTTAATTAAAAATTTCAACAATAACAAAAAGTACGCTCTTAAGCAAAGAAATACAGCTGAATATCGAAATTTTGGATACCCTGTTACCCCTATAAAGATAATTCGATTCATTTTTTTATAATGAATAGAAAGCAACATGCAAGCCAAGCTTGATCAGAACCTGAACTCATATAATTTTTGAAAAAATTAGGTTTTAGAAAATTTGTAATATTATAAAAAAGTTTTTCGCGTTTACTCTAGAAATAAAATAAAAGTTTTTAAAAATACCTACTTCAACTTGATTCAAGAACCTAACCTTGAGAGCTGAGAACTAAACCACCGCGAATTTGGCTCAGTTTGTAGCTTTACTAAGATAAATCATTATCAGTTATGTGAATTAAATAATGTTAAGTGAAATGAGTTGAAAGCATTCATTATTAAGAAATTTAATTTTTGCAATTCATTTAAATTTTTAAATAAATTCATTTCTATTCATTTTTCATTTTTTTTTTTTGTACAGAAACTTAACACTCTTGAGTGCTTAATATCTGAGTATTAATATTATTATTATTATTTTTTTAACTATTATTAAAATTAAGAACTACCAGTGTACCCCTTGTCAGGTCATGTTTCATAACATCAATTTTACAAGCACTCAAGCGTTTGTTTCGTTTTGTGCACATATAAATTTTAAAAAGAATGTAAAAAGTTAAAAAGTGGTAAGAATTTTATTTCCATAAAATTGAGTTGCCTGCGGTGGCAACAGCTAAAAATCAGCAAAGCCGAAATTGTTGAACAACATATGACTCGACTAGTTGGCAGGCAATTGTTTACTTTTAATTTAGTATAGGTGTACGTGCGTGTGTGTGCGTGTGTGTTTAGTTGCTGTTATTAATTTATGTTTAATTGTGTGCAACATTTTTATGATGCCGACACGCAAGCAACTTGCGCATTTCCCATGAGTTCGTCAATTTCCATTTTTCTTTATCGCATTTTTCATTTGACAGCCTGAAGAAACTACACAAGGTGCAGCTGCTTGTTGATGCCACGTGCAACGTCTTCTACCTGGCCAATCTGGAGCGGCAGCCGAAGACGGACAATGTGATTGGCACACGCAACTTTGCGGCCAATCAATGCGATCTTAATTTCAGTTGGGCCCTAATGGAGGCATACGCCCAAGCGCCTCCATATGGTGGAGAGGCTGCGGCCGATGAGGCAGATGGGGCAGGCAGCGAGCTGGGCATACGGCGGCAGTCGACTTGCAACAACATGACTGACACCAACTGGCGCAACTATCGACATTATGTGCAGCTGTCTGGCATCGACTTTCGCAGCAGCACGCAGCTGGTCTTTGACGTGCTGCAGCAGATGATCGAGGTAAGTTCGAGGATGTGAATGCAACTGTTGCAACTGTTGCGGCATTAATGTCAGTCACATGCACCGCAAATGCAGCATAATTTCATTAGGCCAGCCAGACTAATGCCAATCCGTTTGAGCGAGCCCCTGGGCCGGACATCTGGCTAAAATTGAAACGGTTTGACTTGTCAGTTGGCTAATTGGAAATGTCTAAATGGCATGTTAACTTTTGTTCATAGCAAAATCATGTTCTGGTGCTGCCGAATCTGGTCAAATTCTGCGAAATCTGCGAGAGTCGTGATCAAATCAAGTGGATTAAGGAGCGAACACTGCGACTGCAAGACCAAATTGCCATGGACGATACCATATCACATGAGGTGAGTGCCAAGAAAAAAACAAACAAAAAAATAAGAATCCCAGCAACGCGCTGGAAAGTATATGACCTTTCATTCATACCCTTGCAGAGAGTGTAGCAAATTTTGAACGTAACATGTAATGCTCAGCAGAATGCACATATTTTATATACATATATATATATATATTATTGTCTTGATCATAACAACTTTTGCATTTTATTTGTACCGAACTCAGAAACTCTTCTAACATTTCAATCTTATAAACATCCGAAGACTATATAAAATAGCTACCAAAGAAAAAATTGGAGGTAAATTCAGACCCTGAAAGATAACTTTATTTGTAATTCAAGATATCTTGATAACTTTACACTAGTCCTCAGATAAAATGTATCTTGTATCATAAAAGTTTTCTTATTAAACCAGATCCAGCTAACGAATTAGATTGCACATCAAATTCATGTCTTACAAGGGTATTCAATCTTCTGCGCCCCGAATTTGCAATTGTAAACGCTTTCAACTTCTTCTTCTACTTGTTTTTATTGCAGCACATAATCTACTTACTGTGCCGCACGCAGGCCCTTCTGATACCCAGCTACGGTGAGCTGCAGCATTTGGCCGCGCTGATTGGGAACGTCTATTTGAAGAGCTCGCATTGCTTCATACGCATTGCTGCCCTCGAGGGTCTGCTCTGTCTGCTCGAATGCTGCAGCCGAACCAACACGGCGATAGGCAAGCTCAGTGATGAGCTCACATTGCTCCGTGACTTAATTGTTGGGTACATCAATCGTCATGGCATCATTGATGAGAGGTAATACACACAAGCACACTATCTGTTTTTGGCCAAATCTCAAGCACTATGTAATGTTGCATGGTAACCAGTTGGCATTAGACATTAGACATTACTGCCTGCTATCCTTTTTGCCACATCTTGGCTCTAGCCACAAAGAACAACAACAACAGAAATTGCAACAACAACAAATTTCCCAGGCAACTGCTGAATCTACGTTGATTTACGCTGTGCATTTGTTGGTCTGTTGCCAGAGCTATGGCCAAAGTTCGAATTTTGCATTACGAACAGTTTTTGACTGCGACTTTGCGGATCTACCTGGCTGGATGGCTGACTGCCTTTTGTGTCGTTATCAAAAACTTTTCAAGGACTGCGACGATGGCAGCGCTGCACTTCCTTTCGATGGCAAAAGTCGAAGTTCTAATAACTCGACGTGGCTTCCAATAAAGTTGTTCTCTGGCTGTCGATAGATTTTACCAGCTCAAGCGGAAAGGCTGATCGATGACACTGTCGGGGCTGCTACTGCTGCTGCTCCTGCTTGTGTTGCTGTAATTATTGGCATTGCAGCTGCTGCTGGCAAGTTTTGGCTTAGCTACTTGCTGTGTGGCTCTTGATGAAATTTCATATGCCAGCACTTCAGTTGCTTTGCTGCACAAAAGTTGTTGCTTGCTGCTAGCCAAAAATGTTGCACAAGTTTAGTTTTTACCTTTTTTTGTGTTGCTGGAAACCTTGAAAATGTTGAAGCTGTAGCCGAAAGGTGCAATGCCCAAAACAGTTCCAAACGTTGAAAATTATTAAATTAGAATTGAGGCGAAATTGCGCATACGCAGCGTACGACCAATAGCCAAGCAGACCAAACGCAATTTGGCAGCAGCCACAACAACAACATCAATTAGCGGGCTTTAGGGCATACGCAAACTAATCAGCGCACAGACAGCAGCTTTATAGACCATGGCCAAAAGCCAATGCTTGCACCGGCCTAATTATTTTGTAATTTTACGCGCAACTCGCGTAGCTTGTAGAGCTGCAGGCTTACAACATGAACGCCCGCATATTGGCTGCTGGCCATTGATTAGAGCGCACTTTGGCCATCAAAAACTTCTAATTAATTTAGAGAAAAAGCAACAGCAGCAACAACAATAAAAACAGCACATGTTGCCAGCGGGTCAGCGGTCAGCGGTCAGAGTTTGTGTTGGTGCCAAAGTTGTTGCATTAATTGCAGCGTCGCGCGTTTGAGCTTTGAGTGGCTCTCAGGCACAAAAACAACTAGTAATTGATCGAAACTTTTACATTTTACCCTTTTCTTTTTCATTTTATTTTTGCATTTGCAGCCCCCTGCAGTTCAGTGATGCACATACCAAACTGGTCTGGACGCTCAATTACAGCCTGATCGAGTGGACATCGAAATTTGTGCCGCAATGCCATTTGCTCTCGAATACAATTATTGCGGCCAATAATTTCCTGAAGAAGACACAAAATGAGGAGCTCTATCTGTGCGTGCTGCATGTGAGTAGAACTTGTCACACACACACACACAAACATTCGCTCACACCCACACAGCCAGACTGTTACCAGTGCTGCGCCTGTCAATCGTTTCTATTGATGGCCCTAAACGCTCAGCCCATTGCCCCTACCAAATCTAGTGGCCGACTTCAACTCAGACAGCGTCCACGTCGCGCTTAATTGGTTTTTTGATTGACAATTTTCAAGAGGGAGCCAACCAGGCAGCCAGCTGCATTGGGATGACAAAAATATAAAAAACAAAAGTTCTCTAGGGGCGATTGCTCGACTAGGGGAATGCCCTGAACCTTCTTCTACCACAAAGACTAGAACACATCCCGCGGCAAGGTAACCTTGATTTGAATTAAACCGGATCTGCGCGTGTCATAGAATTATATTTTATATTAGATATATATAATTATACCCTTTTTGATCATCGCGTATATGCGAAATGTGTTGATTTCATGTGCTTACTCATATTAATGTATTCATACTTAGACGCACTTACATATTAGATACATACCCGTCCTCATCACACGAACAAACTAATTGCCATCGCCTCATAATCAGAAGTTTTATTAAATAACTTCGGTGTTAGTAAATCTTATTGTGCCAGGAAATGCAACCTCTTGTACAATGTCGAGCTATATGATGAAGAAATCTAATCCGATCGATTCCGACAGCAAAAAGCTGCATCTGTGTAAAGTTCCGTGACGATAGCCAGACTCCTTCTATGCGTGCCACACTACATGACAAGCTTCTAATACCCGATAGAAGGGTATAACAAAATATCGACGCTCTCATAACTGGCGGACGCTGAAAAAATGTGAAAGCAACAACAAAATGTTTATTGGCTCAAAACGGAGCGTCAAAATAGCACAAGTCGCACACATGTCGGCCCCTTCACACACAATTGTGTAAGCGTGGGTGCGTGTGTGCTTGTGTGCGTGCGTCCTGCACATAGTCCAACGTAATGAAATTGTTGCTCAAACATTGTGCACACATCGCTTATATGAATATGATGCTCTTGCAGAGACAACATCAATAACAAATTCCTCAGTCGTTGCGCATAATTTGGCCATTTAATAAAGCTCTAGTTGAGATTTTAATTGCCTTTGGTAACATGAAGATGGCAAGAGTATGTCTGTGAATAAACATATTGCATGCACCGACTGCCACATTAATTAACAAACAGAAATGCAGCAATGTCTGCTCAACTATCAACTGCTACGTAGTAAAACTGCAAAAATAATTACAAAGCCGAGTTCTAAGATAAAATATAATTTTTTTTTTGTTTTCCGTTCGATTCACGGTTCTCACCACTTCGAACAGTAAGCATGGTTTTTCAAATATGATTGCAATAATTAAATTTGTAAATATTCATTTATCAATATTTATGGATTGATAGAATGACAAATTGTTGCATTGATTGATTGATATATCGATAGTGTGATGTATAGAATTATTAAAGGACTAATCTGTTGAATTTATTCATATATTGATGTATTGATATTGATGGATTAAGATATTGAAGCACCCATATTTTGAAAGATTGATGGATGGACAGATTAATATATTGATTGATTTATTTATGTTCTATCTGAATATTGATGGATTATTGTATATTGATTGAATTCAAATTCAAGGATCTAAATATTGATGTAGTAACATATTGATGGATTAACATATTGATGGTTTTATATATATATTTAATTTGATGAATCAAAATATTGAAAAATTGATATTTTGACAGAATCATATACTGATGGGTTAATACATTGATTGATTGATGTGTTAATGAATTCATAATACGATTGATTGATATATTTTCTGTCTAAATATTAATATTTATTTATTTTTGGATCGAAATTATATTTATTGATATATATCAATCAATGCCTTAACATGTTGATTAATTCATGCATTGATTGTTTCGTTTGATTTTTCTTGATCTTTGTCAGAAGCTAAATAATTTTGCAACCATTATTTTATATAAGGCGGCAAATCAATTTCTCAACGAATTTAAGTGAAGTTAAAAACGCAAAGCTTAGTGGAAGTGATATTCAGAAATGCACTTAATATTAATGCAAATCAATTAAAATATAAATACTTTAACTGAACGTTAAGTTGATATAGACACGCGCTGTACCCAGTCACATATAGATACCCTTTTTTTATACCCTAGCGGATACATAACGCTTCTGTTCGCTGCATACTTCCTGCCTTTGGACATTTTTTGCTAGAGGCCAAATTAAATTCAACTTTTCAAGCAATTTATGAAATTTGCACGCAATTCAATTGTTTCATTGTTTTTTTTTGTTGTTGTTGTTTTTGTCGCTACTTGCGCTTTGATGGTGCACAACACGCCAGAGAGGGGGAAGCGAGAGATGCGGAACTAATAGCAAGAGTGTCTGTTCGGCGGGTGGGTAGTTGTTGGCTTGGGTGCGCAGCGACAACAGCGGCCAATAACAATAACAATTTGCCACTCAATTAGCGTGGCCATTACTGAAAAATCCACTTAAGTATGCAATGATAAAAATTCAAAAGCGAATTGTCCGCCCCCAAATGCTGTTTCTCTATGAGCCGCACAATTCTGTGCCTTTTGTTGCATACCATGCTATCTATATATAGATTCCTTGTTTTTTTTTTTTTTTTTTTTTTTGTATATATACACATTCTGTAAATTTTGATTTTTTCTTTTATAACAAAACATATTTACATATCTATATATATTTATCTTTTTTTTTTTGCCTTGGACAGGGTCTCGAGCGCATCGTGGTGAATAGCGGCTGTGCGAGTGCAGCGCCTACCACAGCTGAAGCCACCGGAAGTGTTGGGGGTGGTGGAGCCGGCGATGCAGGTCCTGGAGCTGGAGCTGTGGTCACACCGCAGTTGCGACATAAAATTGAAAAACTTGCGCTCGAATTGCTGAAAATGGAAAATGAGAAATTTTCAATTCCAGCATTGAAATTGCTTTTGTCCTGCATGTATGTGGGTAAGTACTGGCAGAGAAATCGAAAATAAACAAGAAGCAGCAGCAGCAGCAGCAACAACACTTATAAAGGCAAACAAACCAACAAAAACATATGTGCGTGGGGCATAAGAAGACAGTTGAAAATATTTTGTAATTTTATTTAATGTCGCAACAGCCGCAAAAAACCAATTCTTGTCGCTGTTGTTGCCAGAGAATCAACCAGGGACTTGCAAGGCGGGGCAAGGCCATTGTGGTGCAGTCTCTAGCGGCTATCAAGCTGAATCGATTGTGGCTTCAATTTGAGCTGCTTAAAGCAGGAGTCCAAAGAAACTGACTGAATCATATGCATTAAATTTGTTAACACTCTCTCATTAAGTTTCAGGTTAACCGCTTGAGTGTTCCGCTGGCCAAAAGTCAATGTGCCGTGTGTCCATTTCATTTTGCTGACCCTGGAAACAGTTTGTTGTTCCTGCCGCCCATTTTGGCCATGACCGAATGTGTGTGTGTGTGCGTGTAAGGACATGCTTGGGTAATTGCTGTCAATGCTTGCTGAACACTTTGTTGGCCAGCTGCCCTCGCTGGTCAGTTGGGCAGTTGGCTGGCAGGCCAACAATTATTTCTCTTGTTGCCGTTATTAGCGCAATTTTCGGCCAATTATTAGCTTTGATAAGTGTTTGATACTCCAGCACATGCAGCGCAATGCATTCCCCTGTAATATTGCTCTTTTTAATACTTTCAAAATACCCCTTTAAACGGGTCTGTCTGTCTGAACGTCTTCATCTGGAAGACTTCGAAAACAACGCCCTATAAATTAATTTCAATTCAACGATAACTCACCGTGCTCCCCAAAATAAATATCTATATTCAGCTCATTTTATCCTTTAACAGCTGGCTACTGGGTATTTGCAAGTCAAGCACACGCGACCTTAGCACTCTCTTTTAAAATTCCGAAATGTTTGCCAAGGGGATCTCTTGGGGCACAGTTCCAATTTTGTTCGTGTTCATATTTACTAAGCAGGACTCCACTCCACGAAAGTGCATTTGGCGTTTCATTAGCGAACACATATCTTTCCACAAGAACAACAATCGACCCGATCTGCAGGCATAGTTTTCTTCCTTTTGGGGAATGGCTGACATTGACTTTGTAACAGGCGCAGTTGTTGCCTTAAAGCTTGTTTCTCTGGCCAATTGGGTAAGCTTGAAACCATTTAGTTGCGGCTACTTTAACGGGCATAGGATAGAGCTTGCTCGCCCGCACCCCTTTCCCGTCTCTGGTCTGCTTTGTTTTTCGCTCTGTATTTTGCTTGCTGGCACTTTATTCAAATTTAAACTTGAAGTTTAGCTTCTCAGCCCGAGAGAGTAAATGTGTGCAGCAACTTTTGGCCAAAACAATGGCGGCAATGTGCATAAATATGGCACAGGATGCGAGCCAGGATGCGCTGGCCAACGACATACGGGAGTACGCATCTACATGTATTTTTCTTGCACTTTGTCAGACGCGTTGCGATGCGCCATTCGCCTTCGGGTCCTTGGCAAATGCGCACAGCATGCAAATCCTTTGAAAAATGTCAATGTTTGCGCTGGCTGCGCATCACCCACCACGCCCCTGTCCAGACCCCAAACGAGCAGTTTGCCAGCAAATGGCGTTGTTTAGGCTCTCGCAGACAAAGTGCAGTAAAGCGGAAGTTGGCCATTTCGTTGGCACGCGCTTTTTGCCCGTTCGTTAGCCTGGTTTATTAAAGTGTTTGGCGGCGCAAGAAGCAAAACAAGAAAGCAAAAATAGAATAAACAAAGACAGAAGACGAAAACGCACGCCCACAATAAGAGAAAAAATAGGCGCCTCTACGCCGAGCAATACGCAATAATAAATATTTGCGGCTATATTGGGCGTCCTTTAAGGGCCAAAACAGCGCTACAAACATTTTTTTTCGATGCAATGTTTTTGTCCTTGTCTGTGGCTGCTGAATTTTTTGTTCGTCTTCCTTAAACGAATTTTACAGTTTGTTAGTTTTTTGTTGTTGTTTTAACATGGCTAACGGCATTTGTGGCGCGCGTAATTGTGGCCAACAGCAGCAGCAGCAGCGGCAAAAGCGACACCAATCCAATCCAGTCCTGCTCCGACCTAGGCCAACAGCAACAATGTTAAGCTCCTAAGAGCAAAAGGCCAATGTTGACGCTGGCCAGGCGCGCTCATTGTAAATAATTCGCGCACGCGAAAGCCAAATGCAGCCACACGTGAGGCAGGCAAAGCTTAGTGCTGCAACACAGACAAACACACGCACACAGCTACATGCTACACACCTGCAACAACAACGTCAACTACTTTTGTCAAAAGTTTGCCAACAGCAAAGCCAACAACATTTCTCACCTCTGCAGTAAAAGCTTTGCACATTAATTTGCCAAGCTTCGAATACAACCCAGACCTGGCAGCTCATTACCAACATTATTCCCATGAAAGAACTGAAAATTGTGCACTCGAATCACATAAGTCCATTATCGATAGGGCTTTTCGTTTTTTTGCACCACTTACTAAATGGGTATTTCAATGTATCGAGAACTCTTCGAAATTTCATTTGGAATTAGCATTTAATAATCTGTCTGTAATCTTAATGAGCGTCGCATGCCCTGCAGAAGTGCTAAAGCGGGTATATAAAACATAAGAAATATGAAAATTTCTTTATAGAATATAGATATAGATATAGATATAGATTTAGATATAGATATAGATAAAGATAAAGATATAGATATAGATATAGATATAGATATAGATATAGGTATAGATATAGATATAGATATAGATATAGATATAGATATAGATATAGATATAGATATAGATATAGATATAGATATAGATATAGATATAGATATTGATAGATATAGATATAGATATAGATATAGATATAGATATAGATATAGATATAGATATAGATATAGATATAGATATAGATATAGATATAGATATAGATATAGATATAGATATAGATATAGATATAGATATAGATATAGATATAGATATAGATATAGATATAGATATAGATATAGATATAGATATAGATATAGATATATAGAATATAGAATATCTGTGATCCCTATTTACCCAATCAAGCTAAACAGCAGTGAGAAGCATGTCCATTCTATCCGTAGAAAAGCGTTGATATTGGATTATATTTACTTACAATATTATATCATATAGTTATTCCTCAATCAGATCATAATTTTCTCCAAGCAAAGGCAAGCTTCCCAGCTTTTTGAAAACATAATTGTTTTTGATGGAATTTGCATATAAATCATCCATATAATATTTATTTTTAAAGTCAGGAGGCAAATACTTAGATTACTCTTAAATACAACCTGTGAGCTACTTAATACTAGAGCCGCACTTGTAGAGTATATTTGCAGTTGAACGTGCTCCACTTGCAGTTCTGAGACCTGTTTGAATGAATCTATAACAGTATACATATAGAACTCTACTCTTTTGCTATGCAGCTCGTAAACAAACAAATAAACTTTGGTAAACAGCAACGATTACAAAAACGAATCCAGACACGCACACACACACACACCTATACAGAGTGTATATTGAGGAGGAGACACGTCAAGTTGTCTGGTTGTGAATAGGTTTGCGAATGGAGCAGGTTGCTCTGGCCCGAAAGAGCGAGTGAAAAATCCAAAAAATTTAAAATTTAAATTTATGTGTATCCTGGAGGAAGTCTGAGTATTGATGTTGCCCCCTGCCGCGAGCCTGATAAATAATGGTCAATAGATGTGTGTGTGTGTGGCTGTTAATTGTAAAGTTTTTGCTTGTCACACGTTCCATATTCTAATATCGCATCCTATTGTCTTGCAGGCTCGTCGACTCAACTGGAGAACACGGAGCTATCGAATGGCATTGTGCAGGATGATCCGGAGATAATCGCGCTGCAAAGCGATAAAGTCGATATACTTTTGCATTGTATTAAATCATCGAGTCGAGACGCCGCCTGGATTTATGGACAAGTACTGTGCCAAATTATACGTGATTTAGTGCCGCCAAATGAAATATTGACGAAGGTCATAAAGGAGTTCCTGGCCATAAATCAGCCGCATGGCGATGTTATTGCCACGATTGTGTATCAGGTGAGTAGCAGCCAAATCTGCTGGCCAACTGCTCAGCGGGTCTGCTGGTCAGCTCCAGAGCCAGACGCAAAGGTAAAGACGTCTTCACCTCTTCTTGCCCAGCAGCAGCAGCAGGAGCTACTCGTGCGTGTCTCTGTGTGCATGTGTGTGTATGTGCGATTGTGTGCCTTTGAGGTCGTCCATTTTGGTTGCTTAAGGGAGCTTTATGGGCCTCTCCTGCTGTGGCTGTGGCTTGAGACTCGTGCGAAGCAAATGCACCGCTAATATCTGGCCTGAGCAGCAGTCGAAAGGGTAAAATAGTTGCTTCCAGTTGTCAGTTGCCGGCTCTGCTGTGTCTGGGTGTGTGTGTGTGTGTATGTGAGTGTGTGTGCTAGGAATTTGTTGGCAGCTTGAAAATTAATGGAATTCATGGCTACAGCTTGGTCCCTGACCGGACCAAAACGTACGCAACTATGTGGGTCAGTGCGAGGCAACCACTGTGGTGCCATAAAATTTTTTTCATTAGGTTCAAGGTTGCCCAGTGGGCGTGAGTCCTGCTCTGTCCGTCCATCCGCCCATCCGTCCGTGTGTGTGTGGATGGAAATTAATAAAAAGGCAAATACTAGCAGCATTGTGCTTACTGCCTGGGCAGGAGCAACAGCAGCCACCTTGCTTAAAGCGCAAATTGCACTGTCATTTGGGGCGAGTTAACTAACTGAGGCAAGCAACGGAATTTCATTAGCCCAGTCTTGCCACAAAATATGTGCGGCACGCCCTTTTCTTTGCCTACTTTGTTGCACTCAGTTTCGAGTCTTGTAATCAAACATTTCGGTTGTTTTTTTGGCTAACGCTTTCACTGCAAGACAAGTAAGAGTGGTTAGTTCGGGAGTCGCCATCTAAGAGATGCCCTAAAAGCACCACCAAGCCGATTTTATCATCCTAAAGACTTCGATTAGTCTCGCCATACGAATGTGTGTAAATACCAAAGTGCATCCCGTTGAAATGAGTTTTTGTAGAATGAATCCAAATTCTGGATACCAAATGTGTTTAAAAAACAAAAAATTATCGATTTCATAAAAACGAGGGAAGTTATCACTGATTCAAACCCAACTTCATCTGTGCGGGTACAAGGAGGAGCTACGTTAAAGTAATCAAGTCTAGGTCTATTATAGTCTCTGAGATCGACGCGTTCGACGATCGGACATAAATATATTTAATGGAGAAGCCGTCTTCAGCCCTCACGTTACAAACTGTTGCACATAACACGGATACCCTCATATTAAGTGTATTAGAAAATTTCACTAACGTACTTTTTGTTGTACTTCTTTGTTTCGTTCGTGTCTACGTGCTTTTTCAGGTGTTTCGCTCGGCCATCGACTCATCGTTCCTGCAAATGCTGCAGGACTGGCTGATCTGTACGCTGCCAACATTTTTGGCCCAGCCGGAGCAGCAAGGTGTCTGGGGTCTGAGCGTCATCTTTTTATCCGCTTCCATAAATCTGCATTTGATTAAACTATTTCCGCTGGTGGTCGGCATTGGTGCCGCATCCGCCAGCGGCAACGTCTCGACTGCCGCCTGCGCGGCAATGGCACCACGGAAATTGGGTCAACACGAAATTGCATTGTTCGTGACAGCTGCACAAGATTTTCATGCGAAATTGAGTGCCGAGCAGAAGTTGCGCTTTCGCGAGGCCTTCAGGAACTACGAGCAGAGTCAGGTCTATGCCTCCATGTTGCAGCGGCTCTGATAGCGTTAAAATCGGAATAGAGCACCCAAGGATTTCGCAACGGATTTGGCAAAAAAAAAAAACGGAATAAGAGGAAAACAAAAACAACTTGCGCCCAGGACAAGCGCAAGCGTGAATAACTAATTGCTCTGCTCGGCTCGACGCTAACGCTTGCAAAGTTCAGACGGATGTCCTCCAACTGCTTGTCGTCCTGCTCGAACCAGGCGAAAGTTCTTTAATAGTTTGCGAATCCAAAATTAATTTATGGTTTACATTATGTGTAACTAATATTTAAATTATTGCCACCCCGCCCCGTCTCCCCTCCCCTACCCTCACTCTCTATCCAACGCTTGCTTGAAACTTTAACGACCCGCAATTAATTCCTGAGACGCTGCTCCCTGCCGCCTTTTAGAAAATTGTGTTCTTGTCGGTTATTCGCGAAAGTTTTTTCATTTATGTATTGGCTTGTTCAGGCTGAGCGGGAAGCGCATGCAATCATTAGTATGCCGCTGAATCAATTCCTAGTTAATTTCATTAAAAATTCCATAATGCGAAATTGGCGTGCACCCCAAATATTGTAACCAGCGATCAACTTATATTCCAATTGTAACTCAAATGTATTGTTCAGAGTTTACGTTTATGCAATAAAATTCAAGCTTAATATGATGTTGTTATTTGGGATTATTCTGGATTCTTACTCATGTTTTAGTCGGGTATATGCTGAGAGTCTGTTAAGGTTCCTCGCAGTGAGGACTATTTGAGTAACATTTTTTGCAATTTCAACTGTGTGGCAAATCTTTTTTTGAACTTTTGCACTTTTACCTTTAGATGTTGCGGCAGCTGCCTGTTCTTTCTCTTCTTATGGGGCATGTAACACAGGATTTTTGAGCTGCAGCTAAGCGCATTAAAATTGACAAAATGCCACTCAAAAAGTATCGTAAAACTTGTTGGCTGCAAAATAAGAATGTTTTGCTGCGCAACGACTTACAGCTACACTGCCATATTGAACATCTAGATTTTGTTTTAAGTAAACAGTCAATGCCGGGGCTTTAAATCAATTTGCAGTCTGTTTGGAACCTATGTTGGATGTCGCTAAATAAATTGTAGGCATAAGAAACATATGCCTAAATATGTTCCCGATATGAGAAACAACTATTTTCATATATTTAATATTTAAAAAGGAGCGTAAAACATAAGAATCGCGGGCCAATCTACATGTACCCTAGCTAATATACCCCCATAACAGGTATTGTGAAGTGTAGAGTACGAATAGAAAGATTTTCCGCCATTTTGTGACTTACAGAAGTTGTACAAACACTGCCAAAACAGCCCGTTTGCTGTATTTGAGAGCAAAAATTGACAGATCAACTTTTTTGCTGCATATGTATATGTAATGTGCGTGTGTGTGCGTGTGTGTGTGCAAACCGGAAATTTGCCAGTTGAGCGCAAATCGAAAAAGCAACGCTTCAAAATAAAGTGTAAAGTTGTTGCACATAGTTTTTTTGTGTTGTGCTCCTTATGCAATTGAGCACAACATATACAAGGTGAGCGGGTGTGGGTGTGTGTTAAGACAATGTCCTTTGCTGCGATTATGCGACACGCCAAAAGGCAATTTGGCTGTCGCTCTGGCCATAAATTGCAACATTTCGGCTATCAGCATTTGGTTACGGTTCATTTGGCCAAATAGCCATAACGGCGGGCACAGGCACAGATTGTCGCTGCCGGCTCGCCCGCTGCCCGTTGCCCATTGGCCGTTGCCAATTGATGTGGCGCAGCGAGCGACGTGCCACAGACACTGAATCAGGTGGACGAGAGACGCCAAGACCTGCGCCTTCGTGCAGCTACAGTTCATGTTTCAATGCCAGCGTTGCGCTCTCTTCTTCGCTGTTAACTGTAGCCATTGCGAAATTCACCACTTTTCGGAGTTGCGCTCTTTCTAAAAGGGCGCTCTTAAAGCAACGAATGCTCTTCCAAGCGCGCGCTCTCTCTCTCTCTCGCACTCTGCTGCTCTTACTGTTATGACTAGGTCAGTAGTGCGACTGTTTCATGCCGATTCGTTTCAGCTGCTTTGTATGCAGGCCAGCACAAAGATATGCTACAATTTCTGAATGTTCATCACACACACACACACACACACAGACTCACGTGCACAAGAACGACAACTGTTACACTTACAGTTATGATTATGATTATTGTTATGATGATAACATTGTTGCCATTGTTGTTGCTGTTGCTATTGTTGTAGTTGTTGTTGCTTTTGTTGTTGTTGATGTTGTTGTTGGCGGTGTTGTCAACACCGTTATTGTTTAGCTATTTGCTTGGGCGCTACAATGACTTAAGACCACAGCAAGTGTGTCCACTGTAGCGTGCGCTGTAATGGCGCCAATAGTTGTGGCTCATTGAACAGACATACACTTAGCCACATTCACACACACACACACACACAGACAAAAACAGGCTGTCACTTTGCGCACAGTCATAATATTATCTAATGAACAACACCTGCTTTTCGTTTACCTGCAACAGCTTTGAGCAACTAATTTGAAATTTTAATTACATTGGCAGCGGCGATGAAGTGACGCTTGTCAGCGACTGATACGCCTTAATTACGCCACCTTGGCAAGACAACAGCTCAACCTTAGCGAAACCCACACTCACGACCACGCCCACATCACGTGTAAACGCAACGCCCCAAGTTGTGGCATTAGACTGGACGCGCGCACGCTTATTAAAACTGAATAAATTATGCAAAACTGCGAACAGCTCGATTTCCCTTTTCCCAAAAAACCGTAGCCAATACCCGAAACACAAGACGAACGCTGCATAATTAATTCAGCTCCATGTCCGGCGGCCAGCAATGCAATCAAAACGCACAACCTGCACAACTTGGCCAAAATGCGGACTAACTCGAACCCACAACTAAAAGCTGGCCAAAAATGCGATCTTACGCCAGGGCTGTGCCTCCACGAGTGCTGCCAGAGAGTTTCAGCTGCAGCGTTGCCAGCCGCATCAATGCCTATCAATTTGTTGGGCTAAAGAAATGCTTGAATGACTTGCATAAATGATTGGACACACACAAGCTTGCCAGATTGCTGCAAATGCGACAACTGCTGTGGGCGCTCTCTGTTCGTGCGGGTGGCAGCGCCTTGTCCCCCGACAAGTATTTCAATTTCGCGTTTTTCCACATCACTTCATAGACAATTAGGCGCCAGCAGCGCGCATTTTCAGGACAATTTGCAATAGTTTTGAGTTGCTTTCAGTTATTGGATGCTGCTGCTTTTTACAAAGAAATAAAATAATATTGAATTTCTTGTTTATTTCATTTATTGTTTACATTGAATTAGCAAAAAGCTGCGCAATTAACAGTTTTGTTTACATTTGGCAACGCCTCAATGCACACGATTGCGCGTGGCCCATAACAGGGAGTTAGATTTGCCTATGTTAAGTACATCTACAACTAAATCTAAATACATATACAGCTGAATGCTACAAATAGCTGTCGCAATTTGAAATGCGCGTTTTATTTTGATCAGAGTTTTACTTAGTTGTTGTGCTGGAAACTTGGCTCCTTTCATTTGGGCATCGGTCGTTAATTAACGGCACATGCTCAGCCCCATAATCGGCCGCATTTAGCCGGTTGGCCGCGTTCCAGCGTCCGCGCGGCAATCAATCTGCCACCTTCTGCCACTCCCCCTGCTGTTGCCAGTCGGTCAATCACTTTTCGATACATACTACATATTGTTGGGGCTGTCGCCGATATTTGGTTGTCGACGCATTGGCGCTTACAGGCCCGTCGTGGAGGTCCTGCCGCAGGACGTCTTGCGCGGCGGCGGCAAATCAGATGTGTAATTGTGGTAGCGATTCGAGCAGTTAATGGCCTACGGAGAAGGGAAAGATGAAATGCGAGAAATGTCGGGCATAAGTTAATGCTAAAAATACATAAAATAACGACGAGTAAATTGAGCCAGGTCCTGGGGCCCCAAAATGTTTGATTAATGATACGTTCTGGATGCGCGGCAATGCCAATGGAACCAGTCGCTGCCTTAGCAATTCCCCTATCAAACCTGCTTGCCCACACAATGGACTGTGGCTTTGCGTTTGAATGATTAGATTTGATTCAATATTCAATTATTTAACTGGTTTGAGGTGTTGAAATGCCCACAGTTTATCTGTGGGTCCATAGCCCCCACCCCACTCGATGGCGCAGTCCCTTCTATTCCGTTGGGCGTTTGCATATAAATGATTTATGAATTTGCGCTCTGATTGAACCGTCCGAAATTGTTGATTAGTGCGCCGTCATAGAACAACAACAACAACAACAACAATAAAAGCTACAATGAGAACAACAACAGCAACAACAACTCTGGCATTTCCATGCAATCGCTCAAGGGAAATAAGTCACGGTTTTTGGGCCTCATCAATCGATGTGTATGTGTGTGTGCGAGTGTGCATCTACCTGTATTTGCATTTCGGTTGTGATTCGATTATGGCGCATACTAAGTAACGGAATGCATGCACAGCATTTGCTGCAAAATTATCGAATAATTGCGCTGCCAAATGCTTTATCACATATCTCTTTGCATTAATATCAATTATACAACTGCTCTAAAAAACACATATTGGTCTGTTGTAGCCTAGGCATAATACACAGATAGCACACACACACACACAGGCACAACACAGAGCACAGGTAACTGTTGGGCACGTCGTAGCAGTCGGTTAGTAGCCATCGATTATTTTGGCTGGAAAACCTACCTTAACTCTGCTGAATTGAAAGTTCTTGTAGCAAAAAACTATTTTGCCAGGTTTATCTGTTAAGGCTTTCAATAGATATACCTTTTCAGCTCGTACTAATTGCATTCAAAATTACGAAAAAAAATTAGAATTCTACACATCTATTTAGACTAATACTCAAATAAATCAAATTTGTCCAAACTTGTCAAATTCATATGTTGATAATGTGACTTCATGCTGAAGGCAGCAATTTTCGAGTAATATATCTTTTGATACTTGACCGGATCAGCGTCTGAGAAAAATAAGTTTTGGCCTTGCGTAGATCGGAAATCGGTTGGGCATATTAAATCGGACATATTAAATCGGAATTCATAAAATTGTGAGAAAATTGACATTTCATTGAATTTATCAAGGTGATGTGAGGGAAATGTAAATACGTTTCTGATGAAAAGCATTTAAAATAAATTGTAAATAGTTCATGCCTATTTTTCATTACATTATTTAATATTAATATGTTATTACCAGCACAAGTAAATATCAATAAAGTTAACATTAATTAAAAGAATAAAGTAAATACAGCCCCGGGCATCACAGTCAACGTGCACAAATAAATTTAAGTTCATATTTAATCTGGGACAATTGATTTAAATCGGTTTTTGGCCCAAATCGATGGCAGACTCCATACACCGAATCCTAAAACAATAAAAAAAACCCGTTGACACGCTTTTGACTAATTGCATAATGGACGAGCTGTCAACCGAGCAATTAGCCAATTTGGTAGGCTAATAGGTGCGTTCAATACCTGTCTGGACAAGGATTTAAAGCTACAAAAAGTGATAACAAAAAAATGGAGAACAAAAATAAAACCACATGCGCCTCGCACAGTTAACCAACACAATAGCCACCGCCA